CCAAGTTGCGCCACGAACCATACATACGAACAGCAAACTTGTTCTCCCAGCGCCATTCTGATTCAGCCAAAATGATGACCCTCCCACACACACACAAGAAAAATGGATCGGACCATCATGGACCTGGGGTGCAGGGTGGGAGAGAAGAGACAGGTGGGGAAGAGGGAATGGAATAGCATCCCTTGGACCTGGAACAGGAGAATGCCCCCTGGAGCAACATTTTGTGGCTAGTCCTATGTTAGTACTTTTGTTTCTAATGTTTTGGTTTCTGCAAGCAGAACACCAGCACAAGAGGGGCTGACCCCTCCGGGAGAGAGGGCAAAAACAGAACTCTCCTAGCGCTCTACATGGGCCTGAAGTCTTCTCCCAACCCAAGTGCCCTTGCCAACATTTTAGGGAGTCGCAGGCAAACTTGGAGGAGGTTCATTAGATGCTGGGAAGAATTAGCACCTGTGCCTCATTACGAGTGACATAATTAGCTCCTTGTAGGGTTGCAGGAGTCAGGCTGCTGACATCAAAACAAGCCAAGCCACTGGCGGCTAGGAAGACGTTGCCTTGTTGGGCCCCGGGAGCCAGGCAGAGTCTGTGCCAAGAGAGGAGCAGATGGCTTGGTTGGCACTGGTGTGTAGTTCCTGTGGCTAATGCCAGCCACCATTTGGGGTTACTCGCAGACAAGCTTCTCTCTCTCTTCTCCATTGCTTGGCTCTAGGCACATGTGTTCTGCTCCAAAGGCAAGGATTTCCACCAAAGGCAGCCACCCCTTTCCCCTCCGGTCCTGGGGAGCACCACTTCTGTTGTGTCAGGAGCCGAGTGCTATAACCTGTAGAATAACAAGAGTTGCAGAGCTGGAGGGAACCCCCTGAAGGGTCATCTAGCCCAACCCCCTGCTGTGAAGGAGTCACAGCTGCACGAACGACTGCAAATTTGATTGCAGCTGTTTTAAAGCAGCCGTTCAATAACTGTCTGCCGGGGATGCTTTAGCTGTAATTCTTGCACTGCAGGGGGTTGGACTAGATGACCCTCAGGGTCTCTTCCAACTTTACAATCCTATGATCAAGTAGGCTGCTGCTTCCCATTGCACAGCTGCTGTGTCTTGACTGTCAGAAATCGTGTTGAAACACCCTTCCCCTGCAAATGCATATGATTTGGCTCGCTCCCAGCCGTGTGAAGGGGCTGTTAAGATCCTCAGGGGACCGCATCCTTTGCCTCTTGGCCACCCATCGTTTGAGCCCTACTTTGGTTTGGGAGGCTTCACCTGGGCTTTCCTGAAACCTTTTCAGGGTTAAGAACTAGAACTAGAAACTTTGTTACTGTGCTTCGTTTTGACATAAAAGCAAAACCTAGAAACCACAAGTTTAAATTGTGTAGCTCTCCTGTGCACATGGCATGGACTGTGAGCCCCAACCTTTGGATAGTTTTAAAAAGCACAATTTGTCCTCAGCTCATGTTTGTTTCCCTTCTGTTAGTTGTTGTGGGTACCTGATAACCACTCCCCCCCACTCTGCCTGCCCCCTTCCTATGCAAGGTGAAGGTGGTGGAGGAAGGAGGAAAATGCCCCCATTTTCGTGTGTGGCTGTATTTGGCACCATGCCATTGACACAGTAATAGCACTAATAATACGTAGCAGTAATATCAGTGGCGCATTCATACTGGGCTGTCGGTGTATCATTCGGCCTTGTAGGTTGTTTTGTGATGTTTCCCTGATGTTGCTGCACAATTGCTGTCTGGAGGGACTATGTCGCAAGAAAAGTGGCACAGATGCTCCCAGAATATTTGAGTTACAAGATTTCCGTAGGAATCCTGTTTGCTTGCTCCAAAGCCCTGCCATTTCCACCATCCATGCATCTCCAGCTCCATGGGATGGGTTTTTCTAGCTGCACTAGAAGGAACGAACATTCTTACAAACATGCTTAGGAATGTCAGCAACTAAGCAAAATATCTACAGCTTGAAAAAATAATATATAGAGGCAGCATCTACTTGTGTTCAGTGTTAATATGTGAATAAAGGTACTCTTGTATGTAATAAGAACCTGCTGGATTGGGTGACTGGCCCATACAGTCCAGCATCTGGTTCTCAAAAATGCCAACCAGATGCCTCTATTGTAGGGTTACCAGACGTCCCTGGTTCCCGGGGACAGTCCCCGGATTTGCAAATCTGTCCCCAGGAAACATGGCAGTGGCAGCCTCAGCAGCCCAGAGCCAGCCTGGTAGCGCAGTAGGCTCTGGCTGGCTTCAGGAGCTGCTCACTGCTGCCACAGTGGAACTGGGGACGTTCGGCAGTACAGATCTCCTGCCTCCCCCCTCCCCCCTTGTTTTGACAGATTGGGGGGAGGCTTGGGAGTTGTGGGTGGGCCTCCCCTGAGCAGTCAAAACAAAGGGGGAAGAGGGCAGGAGATTGGGAGAGGTTTGGGAGTCACGGGCAGTGCACAGTTTCCCAGTTTTTAAAAACTCTGCGTATTTATGTTTCACAGGGTGCGAAAGAAGGGCTTTGCACCTTGCCTGGCAGAGAAACCGCGTGTCTTGTGCCCCTCCTGGGCAATGGCGTGCCATCTGTCTGAGACTCCTGAGCCTTATTCGATCTCCTGCCCCCTTCCCCCTTTGTTTTGATAGATTGGGGGAGGCTTGGGAGTCACAGGCGGGCGGCGGGCCATTGCCCAGTTTTTAAAAAACTCTGTGCATTTATGTTTCACAGAGTGCAAAAAGGCTTTGTACCTTGTGTACAGTGTGTACACAAATTTGTAACTTTGTACAGTGTGACGCGGCAGCTAAAAAAGCCAATGCAATTCTGGGCTGCATCAATAGGAGCATAGCATCTAGATCAAGGGAAGTAATAGTGCCACTGTATTCTGCTCTGGTCAGACCTCACCTGGAGTACTGTGTCCAGTTCTGGGCACCGCAGTTCAAGAAGGACACTGACAAACTGGAACGTGTCCAGAGGAGGGCAACCAAAATGGTCAAAGGCCTGGAAATGATGCCTTATGAGGAACGGCTAAGGGAGCTGGGCATGTTTAGCCTGGAGAAGAGGAGGTTAAGGGGTGATATGATAGCCATGTTCAAATATAGAAAAGGATGTCACATAGAGGAGGGAGAAAGGTTGTTTTCTGCTGCTCCAGAGAAGCGGACACGGAGCAATGGATCCAAACTACAAGAAAGAAGATTCCACCTAAACATTAGGAAGAACTTCCTGACAGTAAGAGCTGTTCGACAGTGGAATTTGCTGCCAAGGAGTGTGGTGGAGTCTCCTTTGGAAGTCTTTAAGCAGAGGCTTGACAACCATATGTCAGGAGTGCTCTGATGGTGTTTCCTGCTTGGCAGGGGGTTGGACTCGATGGCCCTTGTGGTCTATTCCAACTCTATGATTCTATGATTCTTTATACAATATGCATGTGTGCCTGGGCCCAGGGTCTTTGGCCTCACCATCCCCACTACTGACTCCCTGCTGCTTCTCAGCTTAAAAAAAATAAAATTAACAAGTGTCCCTGGATTCAGTGAAAAAAATCTGGTAACCATACTCTATTGGGAAACTTGCAAGCAGAACACGAGTACATGAGAACTGCACCTAGAATTGGGTGTGGCGAGTGCAGCTGAATGGGACACAGGCATGGGCAGCTTGAGGAAGCACCATCCACCTTGGGACTGCCCATAAGAAGCATGTCCAGAGTGAAAAACTATAGTGAAGCTCACTGTTTCACAGAACGTTGAAGAGTGAGAACCTGGAGGCTAAGAGAGAGGGTGTGCCAGATGGAAAATGAATTGGTATTGATTTATATACATTAGTAACTTTGTGTTAATTTAACAACTGTGTATTTTAGTAATACTTTAGGTTGTCTGTTGCCGTTTCAGTTTTTTGTACACTGCTTAGATATTAAGAGCTAAATAATAAAATAATCAGAGTTCTCCCACGGTTTCCAGTTACTGGTGTTTGGAAAAATTGCCACCTCCAACTGTGGAGGCAATGCAGAGCCAGTATAGATAGTAGTCACTGACAGCCTTTTCTTCCTTACTGTATATTTTGCTCTATAAGAGTCACTTTTTCCCTCCTAAAAAGTAAGGGGAAATTTGTGTGTGTCTTATGGAGCGAATGCAGGCTGTGCAGCTATCCCAGAAGCCAGAACAGCAAGAGGGATTGCTGCTTTCGCTGCGCAGCGATCCCTCTTGCTGTTCTGGCTTCTGGGATTCAGAATATTTTTTTTTCTTGTTTTCCTCCTCCAAAATCTAGGTGCGTCTTGTGGTCTGGTGCGTCTTATAGAGCAAAAAATACGGTAATTCGTTCCGGAGGTCCGTTCTTAACCTGAGGTACCACTTTAGCTAATGGGCCTCCTGCTGCCGCCGTAAGATTTCTGTTCTCATCCTGAGGCAAAGTTCTTAACCTGAGGTACTATTTCTGGGTTAGCAGAGTCTGTAACCTGAAGTGTCTGTAACCCGAGGTACCACTGTAGTCCAATCCTCTTTTAAAGCTATCCAGGTGGTGTTCATCACTGCCTCCTAGGTGAGGGAGCTCCATAATTTAACTGCACTGAGTGAAGAAAAACTTTCATCTGTCTTGAATCTTCCAACACTACATACTGTGCTTCATTGAGTTATAGTATTGTGAGGGAGACAAAATTTTCTCTCTCCTCTTTTTCCATGGCATGCGTAATTTTAGAAACTTCTGTCCTGTTGCCTCTTACCTGCTTTTCCTCTAAACAGAAAAGTCTCCAGCACTGCCCCTTTTCCTCGCAGGGGAGTGTTGCTTGGTTCTGTTCTATTCCTGTTGCCCTTTTCTGAACCGTCCTTCTCAAGCGGAGGCACAGCACTACTCCAGAAGTGGTTGCCCCATAGATTTGTGTGCTTTTGACCCCCCAAGATTGGGGTGTGGGATTTCTTAAACCAGCCACTTCCCAATAGTCCCTGACCAACTCCCTGCGTGACAGAGAAGTCACAAAAAATCATGGTCCAAAGGCCAATCCCTCGTCCCTGCAGCTGACTTTGGCGTGAAAAAGCACCCCACAGAGAGAATCTTGGATAAAATAGCTAAATAAATCTTTAATATTTTCTAATTGCAAATGTACATAAATTGCACACTCAAATCAATTCATTATCCCCCCCCCTCGACACCAACTACGTTCTCTGTACATTATTACACGGTGGTGGTTCTTTTTAAAAGAGCATGAAAGAGATTTGGCCAGCCTGGCTCCTTACGTTTCATATTATCAGCATCAATACTTTTTTTTTTTTAAAAAAAACATACTTACAAAAAGTTTATTATTATTTGCTTTGTTTCCTTTGTAAGAGGGTATAAAACATCATTTTAACTGCTTTTTGATAGGAACTAGGATTAACCTAAGCAGATATACAGAGATAAATTGAGAGAGGGGTATATTTTCAGACACAGTGATGCAGAAATGAAAGGGCAGCGGTTGCAGGGGGAACCAACCTAAACAGGTGGACACGGAGACTTGTGAATATTGGGTGTCAAAACACAGAATGTTTACAGCTCACACAGACCTGGAAGGGTTTGTTCTGGAGTTGCTGTGTAAGACTGCTCAGTCCATCTTCCTTGCATTGGGTTCCGAACATGTATGTGCAATAATTTAAAGGCTTGCCCTTTTGGTTCCTTTCCTGTTTTAGCTAATCAAGAACACCTTCCCATTTTGACTCCAACTTAAAAGGCTTTCAGTTCTGGGATGCCTGCCCAGGGACTATTCAACTGGAAGCATGTGGGGGCAGAGTCCTTCCAAGAAGCTCATGTGACAAGAGACCTCACCACTTTTCTGAACTCGGCCTAAACTGGACTAAACTGTGCAGGTTAAGGACTGGCTTGCTGGGGAATCTTAAACCCAAACCATTCTGCTGTTTCCTCCTGCACTCTGGCCATGGGTAGTTCTTGCCTGTGGAATAGCTTGGGGTTTTTTTGCAACAGGACAGCAGGGGCAGACTAACCATGTTTCAATGACGAACACACAACAGTTCTGTCTGCTGGAATAGCTGCTTTCTCCAGCTGGATTTTGCAGTTTGGTGGAGCAAGTAGAGAGTAGTTGAGGCTGCCTGTGAAGTTGGATAAAGTGGCGGATGGGCACTATTTTCTGCTGCCCCCATGGAAATCAACCAGAAACAGACATGCTCCTGGTGCCTGTGGGCTTTCCACTTGTTCCAGAGCAGGTGAGATACATCTCTGTCCAGTTCCCTTTTCCAGTGTGCAGCTGTCCTTCCCCTTGAAACAAATCAGGCAATGTGCTTGTGAGCTGGGTTGTACATAGTGGAACTCAACCAGATCAGACTCTTTCTACTGTCATGATTTTTTGATTGGTTTGGTTTTTGGTTGTTGTTTTTACACAAATGCAACCTCCTGCCTGTTAACTGTAGTACCCAATTTATGGTGTGTGTGTGTGCGTGCACATTGCGGAATATCTGGCATCTCCACCAAATTCCATTGGAGCTACAGAGACGACCTGATCCACCTGCAAGTCAAGGCTTTGAAGCAGGGCTTGTGTGTGGGTAAAAGCAGATTATGAGAATCCACACTGAAAGATCCATTGCACCACACACCTGATTTACGCCAGGAGTGGCTCCTGATCGAAATACGCGAAGATCTAGGATATATTTTTTTCATGGTGGGAGTTTTTTTTTTTGCATGTGGCCTCTGGGTTTGCTTGCTCTCCCTTATCAAACCACCTGCCACAATCCCCAGGGCAAAAGCAAAGATGAGGGCAACTTGTGTGTGGCTCCTGTTTGTCCCTTGCCTCTTCCAAGCCATCCATGTCTCCACTGAGCTTGCTTAGCCCAGATGGGTGTTTATTATGGGACAAGTGCAGGAAAAGGGTGACACCCCCCTCTTTTTGGCACTACTCATAGAGGACATAAACTGCATTGAAACAAGATCCTGCATTCCCCCCCCCCCATTTAATCCAGATTTCCCCTTTCGGAGGATTTGGCAGGCCAATAAATAATTAAATAATGAATTAAATAAAAAATAAATAAATGGTGCCATACCTCAATGATTCATCTGCAGATTAGGCCCTGTTTGGAAACCCCCTTGATTTCTTGCAATCTGGAATTGGAGGCTGGATTGGAACAAGGAATCTCATTTCCCCACCCCACACTCCCAAGATCCAGTGGATTCCAAAGCCAACCACTGATGGCAAAACTAGGAGCTGGGTTCTACCGCCCATTAAGAACTACAATGGCAATCTGAACTTGGTAGATGTGTGAGCCCCATTTCCACACCACTGTGTACATAGCCAGTAACAGCAGACTGCAGATCTTGGCCAAAGCAGCCACACCAATTGGAACTGAAAATTGCTTTGTACAGTCGTTAGGCAAAAATGGCACATTTTACAATCACACACTCGAGAACATCTTCGTTGGCTTACAAAAGAGAACCTGTACGATTTCTAGTCATAAAGATCTGTGTATTATCATCATCATCATCAATAATAATAATAATAATAATAATAATAATAATAATAAAAAAGACTTACAGATTGTTTGCATTATATAACTAGTTCTTACAGCAGAAAGCTCGAGAACGAGGAAGAAAGGCTCCAGCAGGGCCAAGTTTCTTTTCTGCACGGTGGACGCACACCGTTGGGGGGCAGAAATTAAACCGAGCAGGGCAGGGGGAGCGGCGGAAGAGTGTTTGGCTGGTGGCAAGCTGCTGCCCCTTGTGCCTTTTGCACAGCTTTAGGAAGGACAACAGGAGCCGCCAGTGGAAAGCCCCAAGAGAGAGGTTGCACGGAGTTTGAGATCTGTTTGCTAAGGCGCTCTGGGCCTTTCTTCTTGAGCCTGGGGGGGGGGGATGACTGCAAACTGCTGGGAAGAACCAACCCCCCCCCCAAGGACCAGCTTCCTCTTCTGCAGGAAATCCAAACCTGTTAAAATGACTTCGGAGAAGGAGCAAGTAACATCTCCATTGAGCACGAGAGCTGTGTCAAAGGGGAGTGCCAGGAAGAGCGCAGGAGAGGTCATCTGTTAAGCTACCATGGGCATACACCAATGGACGTATCGACCTCTGTGTGCAAGCGCAGAACTGGAAGATTTGGGTACTAGAGGTGCCCAGGCAACAGGGCCTCTCCTCCGCGAAAGACCCCCACCCTGCAAACCTAAACCAACAGTGGTGGGCCAGGGGCGGGGGGAAGTAGCTGCTCCAAAAGTGCCTATAGGGACCACTCCCCACTAGAACTCCTCCCTGGCGTTTTAAAAGGTGCACATTCAAAATGTTTACAGCCCCCACCCCCTGCCCCCACAAAAAGTCTCTTGCAAAGAGGGGTTCCTGCCGGGGTGGCGCATCCTGCATTTAAAATCTTATACTGAGAACCTTGCAATACTTTCCACAGGACTCGTTATTTGGACAGATCTCATTCTGGGACATGAACTCAGACAGTGCCCTGATCTATTAAATCTTTTCCCCATCCGTACAGGTGACTTGGTGGCATGTTTTTGGTTTTGTTTTTTTGCGGGGTGGGGGGCAAGTATAAGGAGGCAGGGAATTCTTAAGGTTCACACATTCAGCGGTGCTTGTTTTATGCTAGTGGTTCATCCGCACCGCTTGCAGAGATCAGGGTGCATCAAAACAAGCTGATTGTCTGAGGCCGCAGACTGTTCGGGCCCTTATGGACTCACGGGGCATAGTAAAGTAGGGCTGCAAGTTTTCAAATTAGATTTGAAACCCCATCTCCTGTGGGGCGGGGAGAGGGGAGAAGTTCGTTCTTGTAACAGTCCACGTTTCTGAGGGCTGGGTACAAGGTTTGTGCTGGACCTATGGGCTTGGTGCGTGGCAGCACAAAACCATGTTGGAGCCACGAGGAATTTAAGGAAGTCCCAGTTCTTCCAAGACTGTGTGTGCATGGAACACGTTCTCTTTAAGAGGGGCTCCTCGGCTCCCCTACGCTTTGATCCACCCACCGCTGTGACGGATGGGCTGATAAGGCGGTGAGGAATCCTCAGGACTAAGCACCAACAAATCAACCCACAAGCTGGTTGGAGGTTAGTAAGCACAGCACCCGCCCCCTGCCATGCTGCTGCTGTGACCCCTTCCCTGGAGGGCAGGGGTTAGTTAGGAACCACTAATCCTGGGCTGATGGCGATCCTGACAGGGGGAGACATTTTTCAGAAGCTGCCGTCCTTGCTCCACTCCCCATTAAAACAGGATAGTATTCCAGAAACTGGACTGCTTGGGGTTTATTTTTTGGACTGTTTTTATTCCTAACGCAGACTGTGGAAGAAAAGAGATAACAGTTACCGATCTTCATGCTTCTGTGAGGCCGGTTCCCCACCCCTTCATTGTCCACCTCGTCAGGCTGTTTAGCGGCGATGCCATCAGCAGCAAAGGCTTCACGCAACACAACCCTTTCCACTAACAAACCTCCAGAAAGCTAAACTATGCCAGAAAAGAGAGAGAGAGAGAGAGAGAGAGAGAGAGAGAGAGAGAATGTGTGTGTGTGTGTGTGTGTGTGTGTGCATGCATGCGTGCAAGTTTGGGGTATGTGGGAATGCTGCCATCTGAAGTACAACCGCCACCCTGGTTCAGGTGAAGGACCCCTGATGCTAAAGTGTAGCCGAGAGAGCTTCTTGCAAATGGGTACCTTAACCTAAGTTGGCAGATCTGCAAAGAGGAACAAGGGGTGTTGTTGTTGCTGCATCATTTTGCATCATTAATGGCACATTATTAATGCCTTGATTTCCCCATTTGTCAAATGAAGAGACTGGGGAACAGGCAGCACGGATCTGCCGCTACATATTCTACATTGCACTTGGCCCTGCACACTTGTGTGACTCGGGAGCCTTCATAGACATGTTTCTCTTATAGTTTATAGACAACTAGCGGCAGGGGTAAAGGCTTCCTGGTCTTCTGGCCCTGCCACATCTCAACAACCTCATGACATGCTGTACAGTGCCTTGGCCCGAGTCAGGCCATGTGCCAGTCTAGTTCAGTACTGTCTGCACTGATTGGCAGCAGCTCTCCAGGGTTTCCTTCCCAGCCCTACCTTAGAAATGTTTTCAGGGGTTGAACCGGGGTGTGCTTAACATACAAAGGAGATGCTCTGTCCACTAAGCTAAGAACTAGCTTTCCCCATCCATCTGCCGATCTGCCAGTGAATGAACCCAGAACCTCCTGCATGCTCTGCCAGTGAGCTACAGTCCATCACCACAAGTGTTCACTGAGTTGGCACAATCTGGAGCAAGACAGGCAACTCTCTGCCGCCTCCCAGACTTTTTGCTCTAGTGTCCCAGTTTTTGGTCCAGCGATTCTGGACCACAAGGGAACCCAACTGAAGCCTCAAGCCGACTGAAGCCATGCAGAGACTTGGGCCAGACATGGGAACTGCCTGGGCAGTAAAAACTGGCATAAACCACAATGCTAAGGAAAACTTCTGCAGTGTGCAGTTTCTCAGAAAGTTAGCCCTCTCTACAAGGATAATTTACTTTGCCAGCGGTAGGCAAGCCCAAGGCAGCTTAGACACCGAGAGGGACAATATACCCAAGCTGGCGAGTGAGATTGTGTGTTTGTGGGCAGGTTATGGCTTGGTGCATAGCCTTGTCTCCAGCATGGCAGAGGGGCCCCCAAAATGAATGGCCCAGCCACCCTCTAGTTACTTTATACATATATTAGGTATGTTGCCTTAGGAATGGAGGAAGCTGCTATAAACTGAATCAGACCATTGGTCCACCTTGCTCAACACTGCCTGTTCTGACTGGCGGAGGCTCTCTCCTGGCTTCTGCATGCAAGAAAGATGCTCTCCCCCTTAAGCAGCAACTCTCCAGGCTCTCATGCAGAAATGGGCCTCTGGGGTCATCTATCACCTAGCCCTTTGGGAGACGCCACCGGGTGACTGGCCCTGGAACCTTCTGCATGCAAAGCGGATGCCCTGCTACTGAGTTATGAGCAGTCTGATCACTGGCTACTGCAGAGGTCATTCTGGAGCTCCTTTCAAGCTCACTGTGATGGCTGTGTGTGTCCCCCCCCCCGCCTTGTGTGGAGGCATGGCTTGAAGGACACCTTCCGACGCCTGTGTGGCATTCCTACAGGTGGAGCATAATCTGGAGGTGGGGTTTCCATTCATCCTTCCTCTCTGCCCTCCTGGGGAATGACCTACACCTGTGAGGAGAGGCCAGGGCGAATCCCAAAGCAGAGGCGGCAACGGGCGATGGCCAGCAGCGGGACGCAGCTAGAGAGAACACCCCAGCGCGGCAGGGCAGGGCTCCCCAGCAACGCAACTGGGCCAGTGGCGGGCGGCGGTTTGGTCCTGCAACCTTTCGCACAAGTCCTGCTAGCTTGTCCCTCGGCCTCTAGCGGGCTCCTGAGGTGTGTCCTTCAGGAAGTAGAAAAGGGCGGTGACTCTCCCCCTGCAATGATCTGCTCCGCACGGCCGATGGTCTCCTCGTCCCTCGAACTCGGGGTCAGGCTGGGGGGACGTCAGGGCTCCCCGTCTTTGGCGAAAGAGGGCTGTGGGGTTCTCTCTTTCCTCCCCCGCTCAGGGAGGGCCGGTGGGCGGGTAGGAAGCACCAAGCACCCTTGCAACGTGGTGGCTCACCCTTCCTTCCTTCCTGCCGCCGCCGCCGCCGCTGCTCTCTCTGCCCGGGCTCTCCTCCTCTCTTTCTCTCCTCCTCCTCCTCCTCCTCCTTCCTCTCCTCTCCTTCCTCTCTCCTTTCCTCTCAATCTCCCTCAGCAGCAGCCGCCAACTCCCACCGGGCTAACAATTGCTGCTGTTTCGGAATTCGCCGTTCTCGGTAATCTGCAATTTAGTTGGGTTGGTAGGGGAGATCCCGTTACGGGTCTGCGAGCTGTACCTCTCTTTCAGCTGGGTGAGGGCGCTCATGAGCCGTGCATTGGCTGCATCCAGGGAGGCAATGCGCTTTTCCTGCAGCGGAAGGGGGAGAGAGAAAACAAAACAGAGAGAGAGGGAGAAAGAGAGAGAGAGAGAAAGAAAAAAAAAGACCAGCATTGGAACAGGGGGAGCTGCCTCTCGCCAAGTCAGATCTGGGGGTTGTTTTAACCATCCAAGTTAGTGGCCATCACTGCCTCCCAGGGAAGCGAGTGCCATGGTTTAACTCTGCATTGCATGGAGGAGTCTTTCCTTTTCTCTGTCCTGAATCTCCCACCACTCAGCTTCATTGGATATCCAGGAGTTCTCATGTTTTGAGACAGTGAGAAAAACTTGCTTCTCTCTGCTTTCTGCATGCAGCACAGTCATACCTCATGTCACATTTGCTTCAGGTTGCGCATTTTCAGGTTGCGTCCCGCGGCGACCCAGAAGTAATGGAACAGGTTACTTCCAGGTTTCACCGCTCACGCATGCACGTAAAATGACATCACACGCATGCGCAGAAGCAGCGAATTGCGACCCGCGCATGTGCAGACGTGGGTTGCGTTCTGTTCAGGTTGCAAACGGGCCTCCGGAACGGATCCCATTCGCAACCAGAGCTACCACTGTTTATGATTTTATACACTTCTATCATGCCACCTTTTGTTCAATTTTTCTCTAAATCAAATCCTGCGGCCTTTCCTCATTTTGGGTGTGTGTGTTCCCCTCCATCCCTTTGATAATTTCTGCTGTTCTTTCCCAGACCTTTCCCAGTTTTTTGAGGTGAGGCCACCAGAACTGCACACAGAATTCCAAATGCAAAGGGGTTTAAAAAAATAATAATGCAGGGAGCGAGGAAGCAAAGAGGAGACTGAGCAGGCAGGATGGGGAGAGATCTGCATCCCATCTCCGTGTGTGCCTGTGCGTACACACTCCAATGTGTATATAATGGCAGCTCAGTGTGTGAATACACCTGCCAACTGGGCCACTGCTGGCATATGGCCCCTGGAGATGCTGGAAAGGTGGTGATGTGGCCCTCAGACTCCATCACACAGACCATTAAGAGTCTGAAAATTCTTGGACTGATGGACAACCCCAAGCTGTGTGTTTGATAATTATTTCCTTCCTCCTCTGTTGTATAAGAGAGTTGGGGTGTGGATGTTGGCGGTGCAGGGGTGGCTCCAACCCAGGGAGCAGGAAAAGCAGAATGTCTGTGACAAGAGGCCACAAGCTCCCGCCACTTTCTCTACCTGCCTGTGCACAGAGTGTGCCCAAAGCCCTTTGCCTTGGGCCAAAGCCATCTGCAACAGGCTGATGAAGATCTCCCGGAGACTTGTCTGATTTTCGATATTGAATAGTGCCCAGAGACTAATTAAAGAACCAGCCAAGCGGTGCCTTTGCATAGGCCAGCAGTTTCTCTGATTGCCTGCTAATGGCGCAGAGCAGCAAGGGAGGGCCATGTCTTCGGAATTAGAAGCTGAGCAAATCCCCAGAGCCTGCTCAGATAATAGACTCTCTCTCCACCGTCCCCAGTGCTCTGCCTGCAAAACCATTCACCAATCCCCTGTGGGCAAGGGCACAGCCTCCAATCCGGGCCTCTGCGTAGCCTGGCGGGCAGAGACAGAGCAGGCAAAGATTTCTCTCTCCTGTCGCTGACTAAATTTACAGCTGCTAAACAGCAGAGGAGCATGGCCAGGTTTGAGAAGCTGGCAACCCAGGCATGGAAACGGCCATGGAAGCATAAGGACAACATCCTGTCCTCACAGCAGCCAGCCGGATGCCCCAATGTGAAATCTGCAAGCAGGAGAAAAGCACAAGAGCAACACTGTCCCCTCCTGTGGCTTCCAGCAACTTATATACAGAAGCGCTGCTGGCTAGTAGCCAGCAAGGTGTTGTGACAACTCTGGAGCTGCTTGGGGCTATAGGACCAAAATGTGTGCCTTCCTGGTAGACAGGTGCTGCAGGAGACCTGTGGCAGCTCCAGGTGAGCTTTGCTCGCAGGCACCTACCTGTGCGTCTATGATCTTCTGCTTGGAGTCCACAGCTGCCTGCATTTCTGCGTGATCTTTTTTCAACTCCTCCTCCACTGACATCAGCCTGTTGGTGGAAAATTTGCAATAGTTTCAAGTCTAACTGTCCTCCTTTGCTGGGGTTTTTTTTGGCAATTTATAACCCCCACCCCAATTTGTGGCTACAAGCCTGGAGCAAACCATCAAAGCAAGGTTGGAAACTTGCTTAGGGCAAAAGGGTAGGAGGCTGAGGACATCTGGAGTGTGCTGCAGCTGGATCCAGCCAAAGGGGCAACGGCAGTGGCTGAAGCAGTCTGCGGATCATCAGGATGAAAGCCTGGAATTTCATCACTAACCCGGGAGGGAGGGGGTGGGGGGCTGTCCCATGGCTGATGAACCCTACTGACCCTGTCTCCTTTCCAGACATCCTTGGAGTATTTCGAAAGCCTATACAGTCATACCTTGGGTTACAGATGCTTTGGGTTGCGTGATTTCGGGTTGTGCACTGCGCCGAACCCGGAAGTACCAGAATGGGTTACTTCCGGGTTTTGGCACTTGCGCATGTGCAGAAGTGCCGAATCGCAACCTGCAGTGTGCAGACGCGGCACTGCGGACGCTGCAGGTTGTGAACGTACTTCCCGCACAGATCATGTTCGCAACCTGAGCATCCACTGTACCCCGAATTTAGAAGTGAAATGAATTATCAAGGTAGCATCCAGCATAAAAAAACCCTATGGACTAGAAACTTAATTACGGTGTTCTAAATAAGGGGTGGAATTCAGTTTATGAATCCCTTCAGAGGAAGCTCCAGTGGGGGCGGTGCGGAGGTGGTGGGGTTTAGGGAGAACCACCAAACAGCACACAGGGAGCGGTGGGGGGAGTGTGTCTGGCAAGCTGAAATGGTTGCCCGCATGGAATGAAGGCTATAGTGCGGTACTGAATTCCTCCACAAGTTTAGTTTAGTTTAATTATTGCATTTGTATCCCACCTTTTTCTCCAAGGAGCTCTAGGGAGCGTACCTAGTTCTCGCCCTTATTTAGTCCCCACAACAACCCTGTGAGGTAGGTTAGGATGAGAGATGGTAGCAAGTGGCCCAGGGTCACCCTCTAGTTGGTTTCACTCATGGCCAAGTAGGGAGTTGAACCTTGATCTCCCAGGTCCTGGTCTGACACTCTAAGCACAACACTGCTGCAGTGGCTCAGGTGTGGTGCTGTGACCAGTTTAAGGCTGGTGGGGCATGTAGGCTGTTCAGTCGTGAGGCCAGGGAAGCCCCCTCAGCACTCGAGCAACGTGTCAGCTAGACTAGGGAACCGGGTGTCAAATCGTCAGCTTTATACTGCCAGGGAGAACCTGATTAGCCACCTTGGGTCACCTGAACGCCAGAAGCTGCAGGACCACTCCCAGGCCACCTGTGGTGCTGCAACACAGCAAAAAGCAAGTCCTCACAGGAGCCTAGTCTGACTCTAACCCAGGGGTCGGCAAGGTTTACCTCACCTGGGCCAGGTTACTCCAGTGGAGATCCCTCTGTGGGCCGGATCGTGCACCCGCGATTTCCAGCGTCTGCGCAGATGTGATTTCCAGCATCTGTGCATGTGCAGACGCGATTTCCGGTGCTGCAGAATTGAGCCCCCGAATCATGCTGGTTTAGTGCAGCGCGCGGGGACTCACTGAGCGTGTGGCTTCGTTCGGGGGCAGCTTGTGGGCCGGTTAAACAACCTCCATAGGCCGCTTGTGGCCCATGGACCCTAGGTTGCTGACCCATGGGTAGGCAAACTAAGGCCCGGGGGCTGGATCCGGCCCAATCGCCTTCTAAATCCGGCCTGCGGACGGTCCAGGAATCAGTGTTTTGACATGAGTAGAATGTATCCTTTTATTTAAAATGCATCCCTGGGTTATTTGTGGGGCATAGGAATCCGTTCATTCCCCCTCCCCCAAAATATAGCCTGGCCCCCTACAAGGTCTGAGGGACAGTGGACCAGCCCCCTGGTGAAAAGGTTTGCTGACCCCTGCTCTAACCACTACACTCTCAGGGCCTCTCTCCTGGGTGCCTCCAACTGGGGCCTTGAGCTCACCTGCCTGAGGTGAGACAGAAAGCAGCTTCCCTGCCACCATCGCTTCCCTTACCTGGGTCGCACAGTAGCGCCCACAATGCAGTGATGACGATGGCAGGTTTTGGCAAGATCTTCGCAGAGCGCGAGAGAGACCTTGCTAAATTTCGGCGACATCTCACAGAGCATGCACGCTATCTTGCGAGATTTAGGCGAGATCTCACAAAGCGCATGGAATATTGCAGGGTGCAAGAGATCTTGTGAGATTTCAGTGGGCTCTCATGAAGGCCTTGCAAGATTTTGGTGATACATGGCGGAACGGAGGGGGTCTCACCGGAAGCCACCAACATGGCTTTGCCCACGGGGTTCCGCATCCCAAGATGGCTGCCTCAGCCTGTCTCAGGGCCCCTCCTACCTGCTGATGATGCCCTTCATCTGCATCTCTTTGTCTTCCTGCTGCCGCCGCAGACGCTCCTCACTCTCCTCCAGCCGCGCCTGATACTCCAGCACCAGCTTCTGAGTATTCTCCTCCTGGCACTTGAAGCGAGCTTCGTACTCCTCCAGCTTCTTGTTCGAGATGCGCAGCTTGTCCTGCAGGACCACCACGTCCTGCTGATACTGCTGTTGTGCAGGAAACATGCAGGAGAAAGGGCTGTGAGCACCCTCGCCACCCACGGACTCCCCTGCTCCACACAGCATGGCGGGGCCCGTGCCTGCAGCCACACCCACCCTGGTCAGCCACTCAAAGCCCTTCTGTCTCTGCCCAGCCATCTCCTCCAAGCCACCACTGGAGCAACGCCACCTGTTCACAGGTATGTGTGTGTATTGCACACTGGAAAGACTCCGTATGGAACCGTATGGAATCATGGAATTGGAAGGGGCCTAGTAGGTCCTGTAGCCCAACTCCCTGCAATGAGGGGATTTCAGCTTAGTGTGGGGGAAGACAGGAGCAAGGCAAGTCATAGTGGGAGGTGTGTGTGTGTGTGTGTGTTCTGATTTCGGGCACTTCTTTCGACAGCGGTCTACAGTGGGTGGGTGTGGAGAGGCAACACACAACCTACGCTCCTCCAGATGTTGCTGGACTACAAGAAATCTGCTTCCAGGCCAGGTTTAAGGTGTTAAAGGTAAAGGTAAAGGGACCCCTGACCATTAGGTCCAGTGGTGGCCGACTCTGGGGTTGCGGCGCTCATCTCACTTTATTGGCCAAGGGAGCCGGCGTGCAGCTTCCGGGTCATGTGGCCAGCATGACTAAGCCGCTTCTGGTGAACCAGAATAGTGCACGGAAATGCTGTTTACCTTCCTGCCGGAGCGGTACCTATTTAACTACTTGCACTTTGACGTGCTTTCGAAGTGCTAGGTTGGCAGGAGAAGGGACCGAGCAACGGGACCGAGCAACGGGAGCTCACCCTGTAGTGGGGATTCGAACCACCAACCTTCTGATCGGCAAGCCCTAGGCTCTGTGGTTTAACCCACAGCGCCACCCGCGTCCCCGAGGTGTTAGTATATAAAGCCTTTAACAACTTGGGCCTAGTTTACATGCAAGATTGCCTTACCCCAAAAGGCACCCACTTGACTACTTTGACAGGGAGAACTGGCACCACTACAGGTGCCACATAAAACCCAATTGTTTAGTGTGGCAGCACCTGCACTTTGGAACTCCCTGCCTATTGATACCAGGCAGGTGCCTTCGCTGTATTCTTTTCAGTGCCTGCTAAAAACATTCCTGTTTAGACAAACCTTAGCCTTTTTCAGAATTTTCTCTGTGTTTTAAACTATTGTAGCAATTTTTTCTTTTTCATAAACTGCCTTGAGGCTTGTTTCTTTACAATCAAATGGGGTGCAAATTTTATGAAATAAATACACATGCTGGCTCCTAGGAGCTGGATTCCCTTATTACCTTATTCATAAAATTTGCACCCCATTTGATTTGAAGAAACAAGCCTCAAGGCAGTTTATGAAAAAGAAAAAATTGCTTCCCCAGTGGAAACAGGGCATTAAAATGGTTCCACTAAAAAAAAAGAGGAGCAAATCCTAATTTTGTCCAGCACCCTGCAAACGGGCAGTTTGCTCCGGATTTTAATCCTCTCTGCCTCCCCACCCCAGCAGCCCACAACTGCCCTATACAGCCGAAATATGGAAGATTGAAACCACTGCTGCTGTTTTTTACTTATTTATGATTTTAATGCTTCCTATCTTTTCTGGTAAACCGCTTTGAAGCAGTCAAGTTGTGCGTAAATTTAATGAAATAAATGAATGGATAAACAGCATGCAGGGGTTTCCATTGACTCAAAGCCTGCCACACATGCGTGTGCGCATGCCATGTGGTCGTATCAGGATTCTTTTGCTGTGGACTTTATTTGCCGTGCTTTATTGACCCGTGCAAACGCTGCAGGAATCTCCAATGAAAGAACTTTGTGGAAGCCCTCTCAGCATTCTTTTCTTACAGGAGTTCCATCAATAAACAGCAGGGAGGGATTGGTCAGTGTAGTAGTCTCTCTCTCTCTCTCTCTCTCTCTCTCTGTGTGTGTGTGTGTATGCATAAAGGAACTGAGACAGTGCAAAGCCATGGCAAAGGTGCCCACGCGCATCCGTTTTACGGAGCCACCCTGGAATTCAGGAGAAGTGAAGAGCTTTAGTGGCAGTGGCTCAGCAGCAGAGCATCTGCCTGGTATGAGGCACCAGGTTCAGCTCCCGCGAGGATCTCCAGGTAAGGCTGGAAGCGACTCCCCACCTGAAATCTCTGGAGGGCCACTGCTGCTGCCCCTCAGTGTAGGTAACGCTGAGCTAGATGGACCAAGTGCCTGGCTCAGTATAAGGCAGCTTCCGGCACCCTCACAAAGAAACAAATGAAGCTGCGGGCGCCGAGGAGGAGAAACCTCTCACCTCTCCCTCTTAACTGGACGGCTTCGGGAGAGGCAGGCAGGAAACAGGTGGGAGGCAGAGAAAGAGGCGAGAACTGGAAGGCACTCGTGCCAACCGGAGAGTATGGTTCCAGTGGAGACAGTGGCAATGAGGGTGGCACTGGCAGCGAAGCAACAGCGGTTGCTCCCGTGCCTGCTCTCCTCCCGTCCAGATCTTACCATGTGGCACAGCTGTGGGAGGTGTGTCTGTGGGGCAGGGAAGGGGGCATGGATTATGTCAATGGAGCCAGCAAGGGAATGACAACAGCACAACGTAAATGCAGGAAATGAGCAATGTCAGGCTGGGATTATAAAAATTCTCAGAGCTGCTCTTGTCAAGGCAAGAGAGGCCCCTTCTTTGGGGGTGTGGGCTGGGGAAGGAGGAGGACATAACCTGCTGCCCAGGTTCTCTCTGTAGGAAGGGCCTCTCCAGATACAGCTGGGAGTCTTCCCTGCCTGAAAGCCTGGGGAGATGCTGCCAGCCAGTGTTGACAACGCTGAGCTGGCAAGACCAATGGTGTTTATTATTTACCTGTTTCACTTATTTATTGCTTTTATATCCCACCTCTCTTTCTCCAAGTGTCTGTGCATGGCCCTTTTCACTTAATTCCCACCACCAGCCTGCGAGGAAGGTTAGGCTGAGGGGCAGGAACTGCTCTCCTTGGAGAACAGAAAAGGGAAGAGACAAACACAACAGGTAAAGTGGTCAGGGAGGGTGGGAGTGGCAGCCTGAGGTCATCAGGAGGGCTGCAGGACCTACACCCCCAACGCCCTGCCCTACATGAGAAGCAGTAGTGGGCAAGGAGCAAGGGCCACTGCAGCCTTCGAACGGCACAGGCGAGGGAGTGGATGTGTTTACAAAGGCAACTGTCTCTCTCTCTCTCTGGAGAGGCCACTTCTGCGTCCTGCCCGGCGTTACCTTTTCCCCTTGGCCGAACTCCTCTTTATTCCGGATCTTATCCCTGTGCTTGGGTTCTGGGTCACTGCTCTCCTCTTCTAAAAACTGCACGTTCATATTCAAAAGCCAAGCGGCTGTGCGGTCCAGGGCATTGGGGTTCACAGGAGAAGGGGCCTAAAATGAAACATAGAACCACAAGCGAAAAGAGGGAGTGGAGGAGGAGGGGGGGGAGAAAAAGAAAAAAGGGGAAACCGGAATGGACATGAAGCTAGAGAAAGACAGAGAGCACATGTCCCAAATACCCAACACTTGGGTCTTTGGTTTAGTAGGCAGTCTTCCTAGAGCCAAGCCTTTTCTAGGACTTTAGACTGGAGGGAAGCTTCACCTGCCAACCTGAAATGGTTTGTTTTGAGCCTGAAATGGTTCACACTACAACCGCATTCTACGCAGGCGTTCTGTTGCAAGGGTCCCGTGTATGCACACAAATGCATACACACAAAACCAACCCCCCCCATACAAGCACCACTAGCCTTCTGGGGCCAAGTGGGCTTTGACGCTCCCCCAAGTGATGGCAGAGTGCTCAAAAGTTCTTTTCACACCAGGAAATCTCAACAGGGGAAAAAAGAGAGCTTTTTAAGCTCTCTCCTTTGCTTGCGTTCAGCTCATGGAATTTCTACCTGCGTATGGTTGAAATCATGCGAGTTAAATCTGCTCAAGGTGTCACTGCGCTGCGTTTCCAACCTTACTTCAGGCCCAGCTCCATCCCTGAATGAGAAGGCTGCCCCTTCCAAGTCTGCTCCCCATATCTGGAGGTGCTTTTTACAGAGGGACAGTTTCCCCCACTACAGTGGACAGAGCTAGCAAAGTTTTATTAGGAGGGTTTTGGGGTGGGGGTGCAGCTCTATATTGCTAGAAAGAGGTATTTTTAATTGTCTCATATCCCCCCACCCTGATGTAATGGTGTTCCAGGGCATATTAGGAAGAAATCTTGCCCCTGTCCTGCCCCCCCCCATGACACAATAATGGGAAAAAGAACATGATAGATGTATCAGAAAAATAGGGTAGCAGTGGCACTAGCAGGTTTACCACGTAGAGACCTGCTGCCAGCATCCTGAACCCATCAGGAGATCTGGATTCTCCCTCTCTCAGATTTGTCTCCGAAATTCACCCCCCCCCACTTCATGAGCTGAAGAATTTTGAAATCTGTATCAACGCCTTATCTCCGGCTCCCTCTACCCTTATCTCCCTGCGGCTTCCCTAGGAAAACAGCCAAATCTCTTTTGCGGCTGAGCTGACCTCTAAAGGAGAAACAACCCTGGCTCACAGCTCCTGCTTGCGACCTCCCCACTCTGGGGAGCGAGAGGCACTGTGCATGCTCCCAACCCACCAGCTACAAGCGGACCTAGAGAGAGTGCATGTGACTGAGGCCTTAATTAGCCCTCAAATAACAATTAACATGGTTGAATTTGAACAAGGAGCTTCATTATTTATTGTGTTCCCAGCTAATAGGTGAGGGATGCGGATGAGCACCAGAAGGAGGGGGTGGTGGAGGAGAGATTATGGCACCAGGCTCAGGCTCAGGTGCGGGGGAGGGCTTGATCCAACCACTGACCCCTTTCCTGCTGTAGTTTCTGGCCAAATGGGGCTGTTTGGGACAACCCCAGCAGCTTGCAAGTCCCTGTTTGAGCAAAGGTCACAGCCTTTGAGAAGAAAGGATACCAAGGGGTCATCTAGCTGGCTGGCCTAGCGTGGCAACTCCTCTCACCTGACCCTTCACCTGCTCTGAGCAACGCTTCCCAACACCCTCAACCAGTGTGCATTCGGCTGGGGAGGGCACAGGGAACGACCAACCTGCTCTCAATTTCTCTCTAGCTTCGGTCGAACAACTCCAACCAGTGGTGCTCCTTAGCCGCACACGGAAGCAGCAAGATCGTGAGATGGCACTGGATCTGGTGTGGCGTGGGATGGGGTGGGGGAAGCCGGAACATTTATGGGCAAAAGCAGCTGCTGGATGGCAGAGCGAGATGAGGGACAGCCTCCCGCCCCCTGCACACACTCCTGCCCCGAACCAGACCTGAGATGGTGCAGATTCTGGCTGGAGAAGGGAGGTCCTTAGCCAGGTGCCCTCTCTGCCCCCTCTCCCCAACCTGCCCCTCCTGCCACGCCCGCACTGACCTGCTTATGCACCGTTCGCTGCTTCATCTCTGGGCTGTCTCCCTTGGAGGAGGAAGACTGCTGCCGCAGCCGTGCCCCGCTGCCCGGCCAGTCGGGCGAGGAGGAGAGCATGCCGCCGCTGGAGGGGCGTGGGTACTGCATCGTGCTCAGCAGCGAGGGCGGCGTCCGGCCCCGAGTCACCGGTGGGGGTGGTGGGGGCGGGGGCGGCTGGTCTATCCGCCTCTGGGGGCCCCCGCTGTTCTGCCGGGGCATGGTGGGCTGCCCACCCTTGTCCGAAAGCGAGAGTTGCCGGCGGGCCAGTTCCCCTGCCCGTCGGTTGAAGTCCTCAGTTGCAGCGGCAACCACAGCGGGGTTGCCAAAGCCGTGCTTGCTCACTCCTGCCAAGTCCTCGCTGTTGCTGTGGGAGCTGAGCGAGCTGTGGCACTCGGAGCCCGAGTCCGCCAACCCACGAGGCGAGAGGGGCAGACCTGCTGCCATCTGGTACACAGGGTTCTGGAAGGAGAGGGGCGCCAGGAGCTGGGGCCGTCCGGGGGTGCCCTCTGCGCCGGGTGTCGTGGGGGTCTGGCCTGCCCGGCGCACGGTGGCCATGGCGGCCACGGCGTTCTGCTGAGTCCGTGTGCCCCAGGGGCCCGGGGCCTGCCCGATGGAGGGGGGCCCATCGCCGAGTGGGTCAGCCGGCCCCGGGAGGGCGGCCACACCATCCAGAACCCGGCTGTCCTGCAAGTCCACCATGGAGAGGCTCTTGCCGCCGTTGGACATCTGGACGTCAGGCTCATTGGCCTCCGAGTAGCTGGAGCTCCGGGCAGGTGAGGGCTGGGCCCCCGCAGACCTTGTGACAAAAAACAAGTCCTTGTTTTCAGGGGTTGGAGACGGTAACCGTGTGAAATCTATCAGACTGTGGGGGAAATAAAAACGCATAAGGAGAAGAAGGAGAGGAGGAAAAGAAGGAGACAGAGAGAGAAAGAGCTGTGGTCGCTGCACGAGAGGCAGCAGCTCTTTTGCAGGACAGCAAGCAAGCAAGCAAGCAAACAAAAAACGCCCCAGCGCCATCAACACTCATGCGCCACACGCAGGCTGTTGGGAGGGCAGACGTCTCCTGGATGTGGCACGCCAGGTGGGAAATGCTGGCTCTCCATGCTAAAAGGGCCACCGCTTGTGGCCTGGGCACCTGCCTTGCATGCAAGATCATGAGCTCCATCCCCAACTGGGAATAGGGCTGGGAACTGCCCCCTGCCTGAACTCTGAGGTGCTGCTGCCAACCAGTGTAGGCAGCACTGACCCTGGTGGAAGTTTCCTACGGTCCTAGACCTTCGTTATTGAAGGTCCAGTCAGGACCGACTCTGGGGTTGCGGCGCTCATCTCACTTTATTGACCGAGGGAGCGGGTGTACAGCTTCCGGGTCATGTGGCAAGCATGACTAAGCCGCTTCTGGCGAACCAGAGCAGCGCATGGAGATGCCATTTACCTTCCCGCCAGAGCGGTACCTATTTATCTACTTGCACTTTGACGTGCTTTCGAACTGCTAGGTTGGCAGGAGCAGGGACCGAGCAACGGGAGCTCACCCCGTCACGGGGATTCGAACCGCCGACCTTCTGATCGGCAAGTCCTAGGCTCTGTGGTTTAACCCTTCATTATTACTCCTCCCTTATTTTTCTGGTGGCTGGCAAGTCAGCCTCCGCCCCCGTTGTGCTGTTAAGGTTCTGTGCATGGGTGCAGCATTAGAGGGGAAGGTGGCTGCCAGCACCAGGTACTACAGTACACCAAGGAAAAGCACTTCCAGGATTCTGCCTTCTGAGGCCACCTCCTTCCTGGGAATATACAGTGTGACAGGCAGCCCTCAAGAGGCAGCCTGTGGGCAAATCCCCCTCTTGGCTTTTCTTGCTGGTTGTCAACTAGCTGGCGGGGTTACCTGGCCCAAGGGGGCTGCCCACAGCCCAGCTCAGGCACAGGGATGCTCAGCAGTAAAGGAGAGCCAGTGGTAGCATAGCGGTTACAGCCGTGTTTCTCAACTTGGGTCCCCAGGTGTTGCCGGACTACAACTCCCATCATCATGCCTAGCTAGCAGGACCAGTGGTCAGGGATGATGGGAGCTGTAGTCCAACCACAGCTGGAGGACTCAAAGTTGGAGTGCACTGGGTTCTAGTGTCAGCGGGAGATCAGGGTTTGAACTCCCCACTTGGACATGAAGCTTATACTTGGGCCGCTCACTGTCTTTCTCAGCCTAACCTACCTCACAGGGTTGTTGTGGGGGTTAAAATGGGGGGGGGGCGCATCCTTGCCACCTTGAGCTCCTTAAGAGAAAAAAATAGGCAGCGTACAGATGCAATAAGTGAGAAAATAAAATGAGACAATCTCAAAGAGGATGGAGATTCATGATTTTGATTTGTTACCAATACATTTCAGTCCAATAAAAAGGCTTTCCTCATGGGGGAGGGTGTCATGTAAACAGCTCAGAAACAGCTGTTTTTAGAGAATCATGGAGTTGGAATGGACTCCTAAGGCTCTCTGAGAAGCAGTCTCCTTGTCTCATTCTGCCCACTGGATGCTTCCTAATGTTATGAGCCAAAAAATTATTTTATTTTATTGGGGAGGCTTACATTATTTGTTTTACAAACCAAGTTATGTTTATCTTAATGGCATGCATATTATTTTGTGTATACAGAGAAGCACAGCTCTGGGGAGCTGGAAGGGACCTGAGGGGTCATCGAGTCCAACCGCAGGAATTACAGATAAGAAGCCGACCTGTCTAGATGGACGCTGCCTGCCTGTGCTGGGGAGGCTGCTCTTCCCAATAGGCACCTGGGGCTGGCTCAGCCTGCAGCAGCTCAGGGCTCCGGAACCATTATATTAAGAAAGCCTCTTGTTCTGCAAACCGCCATGTGGGTGAACAATTGATTTTCAACGACGGGGAAGAAAATGGGTTTTTGCAACAGCTAATGCTCTTAAGCCCAGATCAAAGGTGGGGTGGTTTTACAAGGGTGGTTAAGAGCATGCTGCTTTGAGATCCAGCCTTGTGCATTGTTTAAATCACCCCCACCCCCAATTGCAGAGAGAATCTTGCTGCCGCCGCCACCCCTCTCCGATTGCTCATCTCTCTAATTAAACACACAGCTTCCACCTGAAATTTATCCATTTCGATGTTTTACATTTCAAAACGAGGAGCTGCGCAAGGCGGCAGAAACCTTTAGTGGGCGAAGTGTCCATCTGCTATGGCCACCTTTTAGCCTCCCCCCGTCCATGGCTGTCCCCCACCCCCAGGATCCTTCGGGGCTGCCTCAGCCAGCTTTTCCACAAAAGCCCTCCCCCATTCGCCTGGCAGGGCTCATCTCTGCTCCACTCCCACCCCCTGCCCTTGCCCGTCCTTACCCAGATAAGTCGTTCTCGATCACCATCTTCTGCAGCCCCACAGATATGCTGTTGCTAGCGTTGGGCGTCGAGGCAGCATGATCTGCTGTGACGGAGACTTGCACACAGGACGGGTTGCTGAGGGCCGAATTGACGTCCCTCAGAATGCGTGGCAAGGGTCCAAGCTTTGTTGCTGTGCTCTGGAGGAGTGGGAGAAACACAAGCAGAGCCATCACTGAGCATGCCTATCCCAGCCACACAACAACGTCTAGGCAACACAATGACCATATATATGCATGTAATAGACAATCTTTATAGAATTCCTTCAAATCACAAAAAGTTCAAAATGAAATCTTTAGTCTCAAAGTCTCTGAAAATCTTTAAATGAAGCGAGGTACCAAACTTTGTACGGTGGAAGACAAGCTGTGAAGCTTTGTGTATTCAACAATGATGTCCAACACTGAACAGTGATTCCGGATATTGACTACTGTTTCGTAGAATTCTTCGTCAGCATGGTGGGTGGATATAGAATGCTTCATAAACCCATCTTACTTTGAATGCTGTGGAACAGTGCTCATGTAAAAATGTAGTATGCAGTGACAAAACAGTACAGTGGTACCTCGGGATGCGAACGGGATCCATTCACATCCTGAAACGTAAGCCCCGTTCACATCCTGAAACGTAAGACAGGATGGCGCGTCTGCGCGTGCCGCGTTTTGCCGCTTCCACGCATGACGTCATTTTGAGTGTCTGCGCATGTGCGAGTGGCGAAACCTGGAAGTAACACACTCCATTACTTCTGGGTTGCCGTGGCGTACAACCCGAAAGTGCTCAATCTGAAGCACATTCAACCCGAGGTATGACTGTACAAAGTTTGGTACCTCGCTTCATTTAAAGATTTTCAGAGACTTTGAGACTACAGATTTCATTTTGAACTTTTTATGATTTGAAGGAATTCTATAAAGATTGTCTGTTACGTATGCATATGGTCATCGTGTTGCCCAGACATTGTTGACTTTCTCTTCACGACACAAATATTTTGTTAACTGGAGTCCACTATCAGTTTGACGCAAGAGGTTCCCCATATGGGGCTTGAAGACTCTGAATGCCTTAGATGGAAACCAGACATTGGGGTTGGCCCTTGCCCATCTACACATGAAGGACAGATGGCTCAGTTGGTTAGAGTGTGGTGCTGATAATGCCAAGGTTGCAGGTTCGATCCCTGTATGGGACATCTGCGTATTCCTGCATTGCAGGGGGTTGGACTAGATGATCCTCAGGGTCCCTTCCAATTCTATGATCCTATCCTATGACCCCACTCCACTTCCTCGTTTCAAGAGAATGTGATAAGAGTGCTGCTGGATTGGGTCTATGGACCATCTAGTCCAGCATCCAGTTCTCACAGTGGCTGAGTGCCTAACCCTCTTTTAAAGACACCCAGGTTGACAGCCATCACTGCCTCCTGTGGGAGGGAGTTCCACAGCTCAACTATGCCCCTCATTCACCAGGCAGAGATGCGCCAACCAGATGGGCATGGGCAGGCGAGTGTGGTTGGGGGAAAACAGCCTTAGGTGTCAAACTGAGACCTGTGCCGTGCCTAATTATGCCAGTGGGTCAGATGCCAGTGTCATGTAATAATAATAATAATAATAACAATAACAATAACAATAATAATAATTTATATTTATATCCCGCCCTCCCCAGCCAAGACCAGGCTCAGGGCACTAACAACTGATATAAAAACAAATTGATTGAGATACAACTTAAAAAACAAGATTAAAATACAACATCATTAAAATGCAGCCTCATTTCAATGGAAACTCAAATCAAAAACTTTTGGGGGGATGAAAACGTCGTCTTCACCAAGGCCAACTATCCAGACTGGTCCTACATGGGCCAGAAAAAAGCCAGGGAAGTCCCCAAATAGGAGTTCCATCACAGAAGGAGAAGGGAAAAAAGAAAGAGGGGGAGGGAATCAAATTGATTCCAAGCCAACGGTCAGGCGGAACACAGGAATACAGCCTGACCACAAAACTGGCAAGAACCAGTTAAGGAGGAACGTAATGGTTGAATGTTAAGAGTGAGAAGCAACTCCAGTTAAACAAGGAGGGTTCTGCACGTACAGTAAAAAAAATTGGTTAAGTGTTTCCAAGGAATGAAAGGTCCCCCAATCACCTGGAGGGCACCAGTTGAGGGAAGGCCTGTTTTCCAGACTGTCCCGTTTGAATAGAGGATTTTGTTTTGCCTTTTTTTTTAAGGAATAATTATTTACTTAACATTTAACAACAACAACAGCCAAGAATGTAGAACTTGAGCTGGCAAGGACCAACTTAAGTTAGGTGCAAATAAGGTTCACTATGGTTTTTAAGAAGTCTGATGGTCATAAAAAATGCACCTAATTTTGTTCGCACAACAATGTGCCTGGAGGACGGATTTGGCATGCAAATTCTGCTGTCAAAGTCAGAACTCCTTTTCGTTCCTGAGTTCCATGTTTTCAGCTTGCCTGTCTTTGCTTATAAACATACCCCCAGTTTTGTATGCTGACTGAGACTTTCCTGACAAAGAAGGAATGTTCAAATGCCGACGTACGTACTGTTCACTGTTGATTTCACATGATTATACACTGCATTTTTAAATTATTGCTTTGGTGGGGTAGTTTACTGGTGGGTGGCTATACAAATTCAACAAGCCAGCGGGTACCTGGTCCAGCTGAATCACAACCTCCCAGAGCAGAGAGTGTAAGGTGGAGAGTTCACGGCCCAGGTCAATGTACCCTTCGAAACCGGCCGTGTTGGATAGAGTCTCTGGGTTGGAGATCTCCAACAGGAACCGCTGCATGTTGGTCCACTCGTGCTCCAGGAACTGGTTCATGAAGGACATGTATTCTTCTTTGCTGCCAAACCTGTTACAAACAAAGCACATGAAGCGGTCTGGTTGGCCGCTGTGAGAACAGGGCAGTGGGAGAAGAGAAGTCTTTACATCTGACCCAGCGGCCAGGCTCCCCTGATGCTCATTAAGAATGGAACCTCCATGCCCAGAGGCTGTCTACCCATAAATACTGGTTTCTAAAGGATCAGGCAGGTTCTTGTCCTCACATCCTGCTTGGGTGCGCCTGGGGTGCGGGGCTAGAGGGGCCTTTGGTCTGTCCAGCAGCCAGGCTCTCCCAGTGTTCTTACAAGACTCAGATACAACCCACATTGAGTGGGTTAGCATGTCACGATGGCAGAGCCAATTAGCCAGGGTTTGGGGTGTTGCTAGGTACATCAGAGACTTGGAGCAAAGATGCACAGCCCAAGGGAAGATGGTGAACACGTGTGTTTCCTGCCGGAGCCGTGCTTTTGCAGACCACCCACCTTGCAAGCAAAGTAAACAAACTTGGTGATAGCGAGGGGAGGAGAAGATCATCCAGTGCCTGGTCCAAACACACACCAACAATGCACCTGGTTGGGGTGCTAATGTCTGGAAAAAAAGCTACTTCTCCTGTTGAGTCAGTGATGGTGTAGTGGTTAGAGCAGCCTTTCTCAACCTTGGGTCTCCAGCTGCTGTTGGACTATGCCTCCCATCATCCCTAGTGAGCAAGACCAGTGGTCAGGGATGATGGGAGCTGTAGTCCAACAACAAAAGTTGAGAATCCCTGGATTAGAGAGTGCTGTGCTATGAGCTGGGAGACCAGGTTCTACCCCCACTCAACCCATGAAGGTCTTGGGATCCATCTAGCTCAGTACTGTATGCACCGGCTAGCAGCACTCCTCCAGCATTTGATACTGGGACCATTCCCAGCCCTAACTGGAGATGGCCCAGATTGAGCTTGGGTTATTCTGCATGCAAAACGAAGCTATGATCCTTCCCCAACAGGTAGGTAGGTAGGAAGCCGCCTTATACCATGTCCAACCATTGTTCCACCTAGCTCAGTACGGCCTACACTGACTGGCAGCAGTTTCAGATGGGGATCTTTTTCCAGTACTGTCCAGAAATGCTGGGGATTGAATCTGGGGTGTCCTGGGTGCAAAGGAGGCACTCTCCCACGGAACTGGGGCCAGAACAACCCAAGAAGAGCCCGCTGGATCAGGCCAATGGCCCATCTGTTCCAGCATCCTCTTCTCACCTGTGGCCAACCAGGTGCCTGTGGAAAACCAGCGAGTAGGATTTGACCGCAAGAGCAACTCTCCCCTTCTGTGGCTTCTAGCAACCAGGATACCAGAAGCATTGCTACCTCCAGCTGTGGTAGCAGAGCAGAGCCATCATGGCTAGTAACCCTCAATAGCCCTCTCCTCTTATATCTCTATGCTGTTGGGCAGCAGAGAGTCTGTGGATCAGGAAGCTGATGTGGGGGGTGGGCGGTGTGGGCAGGGGCTGCCAGGAGGTGGGCCAAGAGCTGGATTTCGGCCTGAACCCCTTTACGACTGACCCAGCCAAAGCCAAATCACTGGCCTTCCAGATGATGTAATAATTTCACCCCCTTCCACAGACCAGGGGCGCCCAAGGCCTTGACAAAGTCACCTTCGCTGAAAAGATTATTGGGCGGTCGGGCAATGCCAAATTAGACGGCCGCGTTGGCAGGGAGGATGGCTGGCCAGCAATTTGAGCAGGTGGGTGTACGAGTGAGAGAGAGATGGTGGAGGAAGGCTGATCCTGTCAACTCATGCGACACAGATGCAAGTCTCCTCTGTTCCAGCAGACCCCATCTTAAGATGCTTTTGTCAGCAAACTCACTCACTGCTGCTACTACCCTCTCTCTGTCTCTCTCTCTCTGTCTCTCTCTCTCTCTGTGTGCGCAGAGATTCTCTTTCGTTCGCTCTCTATCTCACAGCTCAGGATAAGCAGCTCAGAGCTCCTGAGCAAAGCCAGTGGGGAGATTTCTGAAATCTTTCCCCCTTTGTTTCCACCAAACCTACAGGCTTAGTTTAGAAAACTGACAGCACGGCTGTTTCCCTCGGCAGAGCTGATCCTCCTGGTTTCAGGGGCTTTAAAAAATCATAGCGCCAAGAAGTGTATGTATGCGGGGGGGGGGGGGGGAAGCCTTGTGCAGAGTGTGGGGTCCAAAATGTTCCCTATTCTGGCTCCATTTGTGAGCTTGGTTCTATTGCAACTGGAGAGGTAACTGCAAAAACAAACCTGATCACCCATTTCCTCCTTGAATTGTGCTAAAAAAGAAACACGGTCCCGCGCAACCCCGCTTTGAAGCTTGGGGTGATGTGGGTGATTTGCCTTACTGCAACTGTGTTGTGATCAGCCGTGACTCCTGCATTGCAGGGGGCTGGACCAGATGACCCTCAGGGTCCCCCCCCAACTCTATAATTCTATCCAGTCACTTAATAGCAAGGAAGAGCAATCCTTATCCAGCTTTCCCTCCCTGTGCAGTTCTGGGGCAAAGGGTTGGGTGGGATGGGTTGCAATAATAATAATAATAATAATAATAATAATAATAATAATAATAATAATATTTCTACCCCACCCATCAGGCTGGGTTTCCCCAGCCACTCTGGGCGGCTCCCAATAGAACATTAAAAAAAAAAAAGTTGCTGGAGCATCAGATGCAACTCACACTTTTGTACAGTGGATTACATTCTAGCCGTGCAGAAGGCAGAGGCTCCCGTGCACCAGAAACCTCCCCACCCAGGCAAACAGGAGGCATTGTCACAATTCAAGGACTCAGGGAGAGCCTGGAGCAATGCTAATGAATGGGTGTGGACTAGGGAGAGGTTGTGTGTTCTGGAAGAGGGCCAAGGGCTAGAGAGAGAGAGAGAGGCCTGGATGGCCACATTCAGCTCTCTGGCCTGAGGTTGCCCACCCCTGAGTTATGGTAAGTGACAGCCCCCAGAAGACCCCCGTTTGGTACGATCTCAGATTAGCAGAGCTGGAAAGTGTCTTTCCCAAGGACCTTCGGAGAAGCAGATGGAGAGCAGAGCTGCTGGTCTGACCCTACAAGCTGCGGGATGAGTTACTGAGTGCAGAACGCAGCTGCCTGAGAATCTTAGCTTCAATTCAAGTTTCTAGTCCTTACTGTTGCCAAGCGTGGAGACAGACAGCCAGGTCGTGCAGCCACAGCAGTGACCACAGGAGGAATGACCGTTGGGGGGAGTGCAGAGAGAAGAAACGCCATGGTGCATCTGCAGCAGCACAACCGGACACCTTCATCTGCCCCAGCTGCAACAAAACATGTCTCTCCTGTATTGTTCCCCACAGCCACAACAGACGCTGCAGCCTGCCAATAAGCTGGACATCACCTGCAAAGACGCACTCCTCCACTGTCTCCTGAGACAGACGGATGCCAACAACTGTTGCCAGTTGAAATTTAAGAAGCCAGAAGGGTGCCCAGATGAGATTCACAGCACTTGGGGCAGAGGGAGATGAATCTGCAGATTGGGCAGATTGATAGCCATTTATGTGGGCAAAATGGTGAGCCTTGGGAGTGCTCAGCCTCTGGACCTAAGGCAGCTTCCCGGTCGTTTTTAAGAGAGAGAGAGACGGAGAGAGAGAGAGAGAGGAGTTCCTGGGGAAAGGTTTACTTTGCAAAGTTGGCCAGGTTCTGCGTGACCTTGGCGATCAGGGTCAGGGTGCGGGCTGTGCGGTCATCGGGATACTCCTGGAGGAGGCTGAAGAGGGAGGGCGACATGATGGCCGGGCAGAGGAAGCGGAGGAACAGCGAGGCGCTGATCAGGCGCTCACTGATGTCTGGGCGGCCGCGGCTGCTACACTCCTGGCGCCACGAGGCGAAGACCTCCTTCAGCTCTCTCGGGAAGACACTGCAAAGAGAAGCAAGAGGAGGGAAGGTGGGTGCGAGGCCTTTTGCTCCCCCTGGGGAAAAATCTTTTTCAGGGAGAGAAGACCCTCTGGTGGGCTTCCAGAGGCAAGGAAGAGCCCCCCTCAGTCCTCCTCTAGCACAAATCAAACCTGAGCTCCCAAAAAATATTTTAAAATTTCTCCTATTCTGGCGCTTGCATTGAAAGTATTTATTATTTATTCCCTAAGATTCATATACCCGTTTCGGTGTGCAGAAAATACTTCAAAGAGGTTTATAAAACAGCATGGTTATTGGTAAAACAAAAATATTCCAAAAATTAAAGCCAACCTTTAACCAAAAATCACATCAGCAATCCTATACAGTCATACCTCATGTTACGTCCGCTTCATGTTATGTTCTTTCAGGTTACGTCCCACGTGACCCGGAAGTACCGGAAAGGGTTATTTCTGGGTTTCACTTCTCACACATGTGCAGACACACAAAATGATGTCATGCGCATGCGCAGAAGCGGCAAGTTGCAACCCATGCGTGCACAGACGGGTTGCGTTCTTTTCATGTTGCGAACGGGCCTCCGGAACGGATCCCGTTCGCAACCAGAGGTACCACTGTATATCTTGGCAGGCTTTGCCTAAACAAAAAGAGTACAGTGGTACCTCAGGTTAAGAACTTAATTCGTTCTGGAGGTCCGTTCTTAACCTGAAACTGTTCTTACCACTTTAGCTAATGGGCCTCCTGCTGCCGCTGCACAATTTCTGTTCTCATCCTGAAGCAAAGTTCTTAACCCGAGGTACTATTTCTGGGTTAGCAGAGTCTGAAACCTGAAGTGTCTGTAACCTGAAGCGTCTGTAACCCGAGGTACCACTGTACAACAAAGGTGCCTGTCTGGTGCCAATAGGTAGGGAATTCCAAAGACCAACACCTTTACAAATGCAGAATGGGAATTATGTGACACTTGTAACAGTGCAAGTTGGAATGGGAAGAAAGATTGGCTGTTAATCCACACTGGGAAACTGTAGCTCTGGGAGGGGAATAGAGAGTCGCCTATCAACCCCCAACACCCTTAACCAGCTGCAGCTCCCATAATTCCTGGGGGGTGGAGCCACGACTGTTTAAAGTGGTACTGAAGTGCTTTAAATCTATGGTGCGAAGGTGGCCTCAGACTTCAGTTCCCACCAGCGTCAGTCAGCACAGCTCTATGCTGGCAGGGGCTGATGGGAGATGTAGTCCAAAGTACCCAAAGAGCACTGGGCTGAACTAAGCCATAGATAGGGAACCTGCAGCCTCCAGATGATGAAAGAGCCCACTCGTCATCTCTGCCTACTGGCCACGCTGGCTGCTGGGAGCTCCAGTTCCACAGCATCTGGAGGGCTGCAGATTCTGCATCCCTGAGCCAAAAACCGACAGCCATTAAAGCTGGATCTAAATGATATTTGCTTCCTGGTAGTTCCATCTCTGCCTCTTCATGGCGCAAAGCTCTAGCTGCAGTTTTCCCTTGGGCTAATTTTTGAGGCTTTCTTTAGACTGACTTTGCAAACTAAAAAACAACAACAAAGCAAACAAATGTTAATTGTGTGATGGAACTCAGGGTCACCCAGATATCCCAGAGAACCAGCTTTCTCTGTTTGGAAACTGCAGGTAAGCGCATATATTCTAGGTGTCACAAGATGCAGCAGCAAAATCTCTTGCAGGCACTGGCTGGTTCTGCTGACCGCCCTTGCGACCAGGGCTGCTGCCAACTCTTCAAATGGTCCCTGATTCTGTGTCTTTCACAGCTACTAGCAGGGATCACCAGGTAAAGGCTTATCCTTGCATTGGGGAAGGGTTAGGATTAGGACCTATTCCCCCCCCCCCGGCATCTCAAGTTGCTGTTAAAAGTACAAGAGCGGGGCACACTTATTTTTCTGGTCAGTTGGCAATCTATTACTCTCTCCCACATCAGGTCCTTTGGGAGCATCACACATTTACTGCCATCTCTGCAGATGCCCCTTCTTCAGAGAGAGAGAGAAATGTGATTACCTCTGAGCATGAAGAAAACACCCCAACCCCAATAGTGAGCACCTAGATGTCACGGTCACACAAACACACACATTATACGTCTGTGAAAACCAATACAGTCATACCTTAAGTTACAGACGCTTCAGGTTACAGACTCGGCTAACCCAGAAATAGTACCTCGGGTTAAGAACTTTACCTCAGGATGAGAACAGAAATGGCGCAGCGGCAGCAGTGGGAGGCCCGATTAGCTAAAGTGGTACCTCAGGTTAAGAACAGTTTCAGGTTAAGAACGGACCTCCGAAAACTAGAAACAGAGCTGTTAGAACCCAATACTAAGAACTTGTCAAGAATGTATAACTTGCTGTTGAAATGGAATACACAGGATGAAACGGTGAAATCAGCTATGATTAAATGGGCACAAGACATTGGTCATGACATTATGTTTGCTGACTGGGAACAGTTATGGAACACCGGTGTTAAGTTTACGGCATGTAATGCCTTAAGAGAAAATATAATGAAAATGATCTACAGGTGGTACATGACCCCAGTCAAGCTCGCAAAAAATTACCATTTGCCCAGTAACAAATGCTGGAAATGTAATGAGACTGAAGGTACCTTTTATCACCTTTGGTGGACCTGCCCGAAGATTAAAGCCTTTTGGAAAATGATCTATAATGAAATAAAGAAAGTCCTTAAATGGACTTTTTCTAAGAAACCTGAGGCTTTTCTCCTGGGCATGGTTGGCCAATTGGTGTCAAGGAAGGATAGGACGTTTTTTATGTATGCTACTACAGCAGCAAGAATTCTTCTGGCAAAGTATTGGAAGACACAAGAACTACCCACTCTGGAAGAATGGCAGGCGAAGGTGATTGACTATATGGGACTGGCAGAGATGACCGGCAGAATCCGTGACCAGGGGAGAGAGACAGTGGAAGAAGACTGGAAGAAATTCAAAATTTATCTTAAAAATTGTTGTAAAATTGAGGAGTGCTGAGATGTTAAGGTGTTAAGAAATAGAGAATTGCAGCTGCAAACAATAAGTTAAGGAAATAAGAACTTAATGAAAGTGAATTAATTAATAAGTTGGAGGGTTGCTGAAGAAAGGTAAAAACAAGGATGCAGAAAAGGGGAGGTATGGGGAAGTCCGGGAACCAAGGTGTATGAAAATAAGATTATGAAATTATACATGTTTATATGTTTGTATGTTTTGTTTTGTTTATTGTTTGTTTTTATTATGTGTGTGGAAAATCAATAAAAATCTATTAAAAAAAAAATCTGGAAACGGAAAAAAAAAAAAAAAGAACGGACCTCCGAAACGAATTAAGCTCTTAACCCAAGGTACCACTGTACAGTGGACGCTCAGGTTGTGAATGTGATCTTTATGGGATGCATGTTTGTAACCCACAGCGTTCACAACCCACAGCTGCATGTCTGCGCACACGCGGTTTGCGGTTTGGCACTTCTGTGCATGTGCAAAGTGCGATTTGGCACTTCTGTGCATGCATTACCGCCGAAACCCGGAAGTAACCTGTTCCAGTACTTCCGGGTTTCGGCGGTCCGTAACCCAAAAAAATGCAACCTGAAGCGTCTGTAACCCAAGGTGTGACTGTACAAGGACAGAGTTAGTTCACAATGAAAATTAACTTGCTGATTTACCTATCTTTTGCCAGAGGGGAGGTGTGTTTTTTGTTTTTGTTTGGTCGCAAAGCAGGGGCAATGGGGATGTATTTTGCCCCCCCCGGGCTCTCACTTCTAGCACCCCAAAGCACCCCGCTCCACCAGTCCCCGTCCACTGACCAGTACGAGTTGATAATCTTGCAGAAGGCCAGCTCACAGCACATCTTCAGGTTGCTCTGATGCTCTGGGAGGTCTGAGGAGGAGCACTTGCTGGGATCCACCTCACAGTTTTCGTCCGATTCGTACAGTGCCTTGATGAACTCGCCTGAAAGCACCAAGAGGGCAAGAAATAAACAGATGGATCATAAGGAGAGCCACAAGAAAACTGAGCTTTGCAAACTTGGAATGCAGTGACCTGATCGGTGCCCTTCAAGTCAGCAGGCGGATGGGGACTTTGCTCTGCTATGCTCTGCTATCAGTATGACCTTAACAGGATGGATCGAGTTCAGGGTCAAAACCAACAAAACCAATCTCCGTAGCAACAAAGGTTAAGGTTCTGCACTTAGGCAGGAATAGCCAGGTGCACAAATATAGGATGGGAGATACCTTCCCCCTGTTTCTATTTTATTTTTATTAGGCATTGCAATTAGGTGGTATGGAACGGTACTTCCAAGAAACAGGCAGAAATTCTCCAGGAAAAACCAAAAGCAATGCATAGACATATACACAGCCATTCCATAGGAGAGCACAGAAAGGCTAAACTTCAGCAACAAAGCACAGAATCGCAGTTCAGGTTACTAGTTCTTGTGGCTGGAAAACTGTACTTGAAAGGCTGTGGGCGTCAGGACTCTTGAGATGCTGCAGCCAATCAAAGGTAAAGGAGCAGCAGTTTGTTTTTTAGATTCCCCATTTCTTTTGTCGCTCCCGCCCTTTCTTGATAAAAACGCAACCGCCTTACGAAAAAGCTCACCCCACCTTCTAAGGTCCTCGGTGCAGAGATATTTATTTGTTTAATAAAATGTACACACAGCTTGATTGTAAGGGGTGGGGGAACCCTCACAGAAGTTAATAATAATAATAATAATAATAATAATAAAGCAATGCAATTATCAATAAAAACAATTGTGCTGCAAAACGCAAGGGAAGCCCCACACAGAGCACATTGCCTTCCTTATCCACCATTTTGCATCTGCTGAGTCTGTGAAGCACAGCCTGCATCAGTGATGGAATGATTGTAAACACTGGCTTGCACAGGTGTGCTCAGGCCAAGAGGTGTGGATATAACCTGGACAGGTGTGTGTGTGTGTGGAATCAGGTAGGAGATTCAACTGAAGCAAACCTCTGCAGAAAGCGTTATTTGCAGTTTTAGGCTCCTAATGACTTTTGGCTGTAGGCAAGTAAGGAGATTATCTTTATAACAAAAGGCTAAAAGACCAGGAGATTACTGGGGAGTGGGGGGCAGAGGAGAAGAGCTTGACAACCCCTGCCCCAAGCCCACCCTGTTGCCAGTCTGCAGGTCTCCTGTCTGTGGAAAAGGACACTGGTGGGTCAAAAGTGGAATTTGCTGCCAAGGAGTGTGGTGGAGTCTCCGTCTTTGGAGGTCTTTAAGCAGAGGCTTGACAACCATATGTCAGGAGTGCTCTGATGGTGTTTCCTGCTTGGCAGGGGGTTGGACTCGATGGCCCTTGTGGTCTCTTCCAACTCTATGATTCTATGATTCTATGAAAAGGGCCCTGTATGGGTCTGCCTTTAAAACCTTACAAGTAAACAATGCAACCCTAGCGGTCTCTCCTTGACATTGTCCTGGGCTGCATGCAGGAGCTGCCCCCCCGCCCCAAAATACAAAAGCAGCTGACCCTGCCATCACCCATATGGAGTCAGAAGTAGCACGATCTAACTACTAAAGTGCATGTGCTGGCAGCCTTGAGGCTGGACTACTGCAGGGAGTTCTTTGTGGGGCTGCCCTAGGGCCTGGTTTGGAAGCTCCAGCTGGTGAAGAAGGTGGAGACCAGACTGCTGATGTGGGCATCTGGTTCACAACTCATAACACCTTTGTTAAAGCATCTGCATTCGTTTCCCACCTACTACCAAGCCAGGCTCACTGATTTGCAAGACCCTGAACAACTAAGGTCCAAGGTACCTAAGGGACGGCCAGAGCCCTTATATGCCAGCTCAGTCACCAAGATTACCTGCAGGGAGTGTTGTTTGCAATTTCCTGTGTTGATGAGGCTCATTTGACAAGAAGAAACTGAGCCTTTAGTGCCATCAGTGCAGTCCTGTGGAACTCTCTGTCACTACACATTCAGCAGGCACCCTCTGCTTCAATCTTTTAAACGCCTGCTTATGCCCCCCCCCAATTCTGTCAGGCTTGTGCAGGCAACCAAGAAGGCATGTTTCCACAATAGTTAGCCGATTTCTGATTTCTGAAGGAGCGTCTCCACCCCCATTCTTCTGCCTGGACGCTGAGGTCCAGCGCGGAGGGCCTTCTGGCGGTTCCCTCACTGCGAGAAACAAAGTTACAGGGAACCAGGCAGAGGGCCTTCTCAGTGGTGGCGCCTGCCCTGTGGAACGCCCTCCCATCAGATGTCAAAGAGAAGAACAAGTACCTAACATTTAGAAGGCATCTGAAGGTGGCCCTGTTTAGGGAAGTTTTTAATGTGTGACATTTTAATGTATTTTTAATCTTTGTTGGAATCTGCCCAGCGTGGCTGGGGAAACCCAGCCAGATGGGCAGGGTACTTATTATTATTATTATTATTATTATTATTATTATTATTATTATTAACTTGTTCTCATGATTTTCATTAAACCGTTTGATATCTTTTATGAGTAAAGGTAAAGTGACCCCTGACCGTTAGGTCCACTCGCGGACGACTCTGGGGTTGCGCTCTCATCTCACTTTCAGGCCAAGGGAACCAGTGTTTGTCTGTAGACAGCTTCCGGGTCATGTGGCCAGCATGACTAAGCCGCTTCTGGTGAACCAGAGCAGCGCACGGAAACGGCGTTTACCTAGGCTCTGTGGTTTAGACCACAGCGCCACCCGTGTCCCCCTTTTATGAGTATTGGTATATTAGTATTTGAGCTCCCGTTGCTCAGTCCCTGCTCCTGCCAACCTAGCAGTTCGAAAGCACGAAGTGCAAGTAGATAAATAGGTACCGCTCCGGCGGGAAGGTAAACGGCATTTCCGTGCACTGCTCTGGTTCGCCAGAAGCGGCTTAGTCATGCTGGCCACATGAGCCAGAAGCTGTACGCCGGCTCCCTCGGCCAGTAAAGCGAGATGAGCGCCGCAACCCCAGAGTCGGCCACGACTGGACCTAATGGTCAGGGGTCCCTTTACCTTTTATATTAGTATTTTAAGAAACAAAATAAATAGTCGACATGTGTTAATGTTAGGCTTTCCTCCAGCATGAACACTCTTCTGACCGTGTCTGTTGAAAGAGGAATGTAGGATGGCAAGGCAGAACACCTGGGAGTGGCTAGATAGAGCCTCCTGGCTAAGAGGAAGTCTGCCTCTTACTCTCTGGTAACTGGGGCACAACAACAGCTTGCCTTTGCACCTGGTCTGGAGGTTTTCCTTTTGGGTGACTGGCTGGCTATGGCTGGTTGCTGAACCTGGTTGCAGGTCGGATCCAATAGCCAGAGGTCTTCTCAGGTTCTTTAAGTACTACGCAAACAAAACCTCCATTTACAAGAGCAGTCTCCCTCTGGATATCAAATGTTAGGCAGCAGCAACAAAAGACGGGGTCTCTTGCCTCCACCCTTTGCTTGAGAGATTCCCAGTCATCAAAGTAGCAGGACCCTGGGCCACAGGAACCTTTGGTCTGATCCCCTGAAGCAAAGAGCCTCTTTCCCAGAGGAAGAAAACTACAGAAACTGGAAGGCGGATTTTGGCACACACCAATGTAAGGAATCAAAGAATTGCAGAGTTGAGAGTGAGTCCCCAAGGGCCATCTAGTCCAACCCTCTGTGACTTCCGGGTGGCTGCACTATGGCGGGCGGATGGCAAATCTGACAGCTCCGTCATATTCGATTTCACAGAGGGTCGGGGGAAGCGCTAAGGCGAAGCGCACCCCCAAAAAAACCTCAAAAGGGTCTTTGGGGTGTTGAGAAGTCCTGCAGCCCACAAACAGCATCTCCAAAGCTCCAGTTTCTGCCTCCGGGCTGAAAGGTACGGGGAGTCGGGGTATGTGTGTGTCACGGTGAATGCTGGTGGGTTAGGCAACAGCACGACTCTGTGAAAGTGAAGTTTCCGAGTCAGCCTTACAGTGGTCTACTTCTCAAAAAAAAATCCAAGCTGATTGCAAAGGTGAGGAAAATTAATTTCATTAATTCGGCAAGAGCAGGATTAAAAGGAATTCCACTCCCGCCTATGGCTATTATATTATGCATGTGAAATCTTACAAGTAAAGAGTGTATGGACTTTCTGGCTGGAGTTAAAGCCAGCTAATTAAAGGACTATACATAGCTTTCTTAATAACAATCTTGATATTTCTGAGCTTTTAAAATACTGAACTTGAACTAAGCCTGACCTGAACTTGAGACAGTATTTAAACTTTGACTTGAACTTGAACTAAAGACTGATTATAATTTTATAAAAATGGAAGATACGCTTTGAATCCCTGATTTTAAAGACATATTTGGTTGGATTTCATTTGAAGAGGATCTTGAGACTTTAAAGATTGAGAAGATACAGACATTGTGGATTAACTGCTCTAAAAGACTCTGGTTGGTCAAGTTTTAAGATTAAAAGAAGAGGACTATATTATTTACATACAATGACAAGACTGCCTTGGATTTAAAACTAAATTTATACCTTTAAAGACTTATCTCTGCTGGACATTGAAAACTACAATTGTAATTAAGTCCCTGGAATTTGGATCTTTACAGGCTGCTTGGAACTGCGACAAATTTGGTATTATTTTTATTTCAATCATACATACAGAAAATTAGTGTAAAATACTTAAGTCCTTTCTCTCTCTCTCTTTCTTTTCTCTTTCTTAAGTTCTACTTTTATGATATTGTATATTCCCTGATTTTAATTAGTTTCACACTTACTTTACTATTGTTAACATTTGTGTAAAAGCTGGGTGTTGGGAGGGGGTAAGAACAAAGGGAAAGTGTAACAAACTTTGTAACTTCCCAAGCTCAGTGAAGTGACCTTGACAGGTGGTGATTAAGATTAAAATAGCCATTTCTGCTGGGAAAAAGTCTTGTTTTGAAATTTGGCTGCTAGAGAGAACAGACAAGTTGCAAGGAAGTTAAATCACAGCTAAGACCTTATAAATAAAAAGTTAAGTAAAGATATGGCAGCGAAGAGGCCTCTGACCCCAATACAAGGCAGAAAAGCCTCAATACAAAAGGCTAAATCTAAACTTGCGGAACTATTTGCAGAATTTAAAAAGGAAATGGGTAGTGAAATAAAGGAGGCTGTTGGTGCATTAGCCACCCAGATTGATAAGAATACAAATAGGATGTTAGACCAAATTAAAGATTTGAATGTGAGAACTACAAAGGTGCAAACGGTGGTAAAAGGTATGGAAGAGAAAACAAAACGAGTGAATGAAGAGGTGAAAGGCCTGAAAATTAAAGACAGATGTAGGTGGAGTATGCACAACCCAAGAAATGGCTTGGGATGCTTTAGCTCAGGCACCCCCAACCTGCAGCCCTCCAGATGTTTTGGCCTACAACTCCCATGATCCCTAGCTAACAGGACCAGTGGTCATGGATGATGGGAATTGTAGTCCAAAACATCTGGAGGGCTGAAGGTTGGGGATGTTTGCTTTAGCTGCTATGGAGATGAGAAAGAGAGAAAATGTGGTATGGCTGAGGGGAGTCCCGGAAGAAGATGAGCAGGATCTAAGAGAATATCTAGATGAAGTGATGGCTGAGTGGTTGGGAATTGATAAAGGAGTTCTGGATAGCTCAGTGGATAAGATTTACAAAGTTAGATCCAAAATAGCAAATATTAGGAAGGTACCAGGGGATTGCCTAGTCTTTTTAAATTCAGGATATTTCAGGGATAAAAATTTCCAAACCAACTACACTAATAAACTTCAGATGGAACAAATATTCTTTAATATTAAAGAAATCCCCGCTGGTCTTAAAAAACGCATTAGTTATAAATATATAACCGATGCTTTAAGAAGAAATGAGATATGATACAGATGGGAATTCCCAGAAGGGCGATCCTTCACTTCTAACGATAAAAAATTCAGATCTAGGGATTTGGAAGATGCGGATAAGTTTTGGAGGAGATATAGCAAAGATCTTGGAGAAGTGGGATAATTACCTGAGGGAGCTGTAGGAGAACAAGAACCAGAAGTATCACAAGAAAGTGTAGATAGCCAAGAAGAAGAAGAAGAGAACAAAATAGAAAAAGAAAAAAGGTAAAAAAGAAAAGAATGTAATAACAGAAATAAATATGGCTGATTTGAATATATTAAGTTGGAATGTAAATGGATTAAATAATAAAACAAAAAGGAATAGAATTGAACACGTAATATTAGATATATGGTAATTTTTTTGCAGGAAACACACGTGGCTAAAAGACATAGGAGAATTTTGATAAATAAGAGGATTGGAATGGAATTTTTAACTTCAGATAAAACGAAAAAACGAGGAGTGATTTTATATATTAGACCAAAATTAAAACCAAAATTTTTATTTAAAGATGAGCAAGGAATGATAGTAGCCGTGCAAACCATAATGCATGGTAAAAAGATTGCAATAGTTGGAATTTATGCCCAAGGAAAAAAAATATAAGGAATGTTATTGATATTAATTGAATACTTGGAAGTAAGAAATGAAAAACAGGCAGCCGTGATGTTTATTCACGCTGAAAAAGCATTTGATAATGTTTCATGGGCCTTTACGCGGAATGTCCTGGAGGAAATGAATGTTGGAGAGCTATTTAAAAGAGGAATAGAAGCTATTTATTCTGAAAAGCAAGCAAGATTAATAATTAACAATACTCTTACAGAATAATGCAAAATAATGAAAGGGATTTGACAGGGATGTCCCGTTACCATTATTGTTTATTCTAGTATTTGAAGTACTGGTGAGAAATATACGGACAGATGAGACCACTAGAGGAATAACAGTAGGTAAGAAGTCATATAAGTTGAAAGCATTTGCTGATGACTTGGTGATCACGGTGGAAGACCCTATAAATTCAATATTGAAAGTGTTAGAAAAAATACAGGAATTTGGACAAGTATCAGGTTTTAAACTGAATAAAAACCAAACCAAAGTCTTAAAGATGTCTCAGAGCAAGATAAAAAAGAGATACAACAGAGGACTGAAATAAATGTATATAAAAAATTGAAATATCTGGGGATATGGTTAATAGCAAAAAATATAAATTTATTTAAAGACAATTATGAAAAAATATGGAAAGAAATTAAAAGGAATTTAGAGATTTGGGGAAGAATGAATGTGTCTTTATTGGGAAGGGTTTCAGTAAGTAAGATGAACGTATTGCCAAAAATGATGTTTTTATTTCAATGTGTTGTTGGAATGGGAAACTAAGGATGAGGAGGTTAAATGTGTTCTGATAAAATGGGCAAAGGATGTGGGACTTAACATTCAAATGATTGATTGGGAAAGATAATGGAAGAATGACATGAAATTTACAGCCTGTATTTTACTTAAAGAAAATTATATGAAAATGTTATATAGATGGTACCTAACTCTGGTTAAACTGGCAAAAATGTATAAAACAAGAGATAACAAGTGCTGGAAATGTAAAGCAGCGGAGGGCACTTTTTACCATGTGGTGGCAATGTAAGGTTATACAGAAATTTTGGGAAATGATATATAATGAATTGAAAAAAAAATGTTCAAAATAACCTTCGGTAAAAAACCAGAAGCCTTTTTATTAGGGATCATAGGACTGGACTTACCGAAAAAATACAAGAATTAGTTTATGTCTGCAACAACGGCCGCTCGGATATTATTAGCACAACGCTGGAAAGAAGAGGAAGTCCCCACTAAAGAAGACTGGCAAACTAAGTTAATGGAATACGCAGAAATGGCTAAATTAACCAGGAGAATTAGAAACCAAGAAGACAATAAATTTAAAAAGGAATGGGAAATGCACATATACAAAAGCAGGGGATACAAGTTAATACATTAGCAGGATTTTGAGAAATGCTTGTAATATAAGGTATAAAATTGGAAAGTAAAATGAGGTAAAGAATTTATGGACATGCATGAACAATATAGAACAAGGGAACTGGTGGGTGGGGTGAAGGGAAGATAGGATTCTAGTAGCCCCATGTTTTGGATCAATGTGGATTGTCTATATAGTTGTTTTAAGATTTTGATGTATAGTATTTCTTTTTCATGGGATGTTTAGTTGTTGTAAAGTTAATAAAAATATTGTTTAAAAAATAAACATTGCCCAACCCTCTGTAACGCAGGAATCACCACTAAAGAACCGGCGGCAGGTGGCCACCCGAACTCTGCTTAAACACCTCCAGTGAAGGAGAGCCCCCTACCTTCCGAGGGTGTCTGTTCTACTGCTGAAAAACTCTTACTCTACTTCCCAATGCTTAATCAGAATCTTCTTTCTTGTCTTGAATCCACTGGTCTGGATCCTACCCTCTGGAGCAGCAAAAAACAAGCTTGCTCCACCTGCCATCACCTTCAGATATTTGAAGATGGCTACTGTCTCTCCTATCAGTCTTCTCTTCTCCAGGCTAAACATCCTCAACTCCCTCAACCTTTCCTCACAAGGCTTGGTTTCCAGACCCTTCATCACCCTGGTTGGCGTCCTCCACACACCTTCCAGCTTGTGAACATCCTTCTTAAACTGTGGCACCCAGAACTGGACACAGAACGACAGGTGTGGTCTGGCCAAGGCAGAAGAGAGTGGTGCTATTACTTTCCATGATTTGGACCCTAGACTTCTGTTGATGCAGCACAGAATAGCATTAGCGTTTTTTGTTGCTGCATCACAGTCTGGACTCATGTTAAGCTTGTGGTCCACCAAGACCCCTAGATGATTTCCACATGTACTGCTAGCAAGTCAGGTGTTGCCCATCCTATATTTGTGCATCTGGTTCTTCCTGCCCAAGTGCAGGACCTTACTTCTGACTCCATTGAAACCCACCTCTTGGGTGTGGTTCCTTAAGACTATTCTTAATTATCTGCAAAGCATCGAGGCTCCCTGGATCCTGGCCCCAAACCAGAAAGCTTCTGTTGATGAAACCCAGAGAGGTACTGACACTCCCCATACCTACCTAAGGCATCTTGCAAGTACTTCTGCCCCACCAGCTTCAGGTACTCCTCGATCGCTTTCGTGGCGAGGGTGTTCTCTCGGAAAATAAGGTGCTCATTTTCGCCACATCGGTCCACCTCGGACATCATGAGGTCCGTCAAGAAATCCTGGAGGAGAGGGAAAGAAGTGTAGGTGGTAAGTTAGGTGAGCAGCATCTGCAGAGCAGGAGATCTAAGGATAATGCCCCCCAAAATTCACACATTGCTCCACTCCCTGCCTTAATTAACAAGCTCTTTACACAGAAAACTTTCAGAAACACGAAATATCCTCACATTTCTGACTGAGTTCTGCACAGGCTTCTTGCTGGGAGGCAAACCAGTTCTAGAGCAGTAACTCATTCTGAGCTCTTCAACTCTGCAGGTGCTATTTGAGCGATCCAACAACACAGAAAATCAATAGAGTTACCCAGCAGGGTCAGGCTGGAAGACAGCAAGGCAAGTGCAGAAACTCATTCACAGATGCAGCAGGCAGCCTCCCCATGTAGATATGTGCTTTGGGTTCACAGCTGAACACAAATCATTCACTTTGGGCATTTCTGCTTGGCGGCTTTGCTCCTTGATGCAAGATCAGGCAGGAGATAGACACTGAGAAACATGTCACAATAGCTGCCACAGGTTCCCCTTTCCTGGTTTGAGGGGCGCTCAGACAACAACAACAACAACACAACAATAACAACAAAAATAATACAGTGGTACCTCTTGGTTGCGAACAGGATCTGTTCCAGAGCCCTGTTCGCAACCTGAAAGGAATGCAACCCGCGTCTGCACACGTGCGGGTCACAATTCGCCACTTCTGCGCATGACGTCATTTTGCGCGTCTGCACATGCGCAAGTGGCAAAACCCGGAAGTAACCCTTTCCGGTACTTCCGGGTCACTGTGGGATGCAACCTGAGAAAACGTATCATGAAGCAAACGTAATAAGAGGTATGACTTTATAATAATTTATTATTTATACCCCGCCCATCTGGCTGGGCTTCCCCAGCCACTCTGGGCGGCTTCCAACAAAATATTAAAATACAGTAATGCATCAAAATTAAAAGCTTCCCTAAACAGGGGAAGTCCAACATCCTCCTCTCACAGGGGCCAAGCACACACCTCAATGGGATGCCCACAAGCAGGCCCCAATCACAAGAAAGTGTACGTGCAAGGAAGTGATCTCTTTGGTTCTCCATTAGGGATGTTTGCTCAGAGAGCAGCAGTTAGGCCTGTAAGGTTTTCCAGGTGTGTCTGCACAATGCAAAGAAACCCAGCAAGAGTTTATTTTTGAAATGACTTCAGAAATTCATGTCCTTCGCCCTCAAGCACATATTATGTTGATTCAGAGGAGGACGCGGCTACAGCAATGGGATTTCGGCTGTGCTGCATCCCCCACCCCAACCAGCCCTGTCCTCCCTCCCAGCCAAAAACTTCCAAGTGACAAGACTGGCCAAATCCCGAGTTTGAGGAGATGCTGTAAAACTCCATGTTCCCACGGTAATTAGTATGTTTGGGAAGTGACAGGGGCAGTTCGTGAGGGAGAGCCAAGGTGAGGCTCTCCTGAGAATCAGCACCTTCCGTCAGGCTGAGCTGAGGATCAGAACTGAAATGTACACTGGAATTGGGGAGGTGGCCAGGCAGAGAGAAACCAGGTGAAAGTGCCCCAGAGACCATGGCAGAAGGGCCTGGAGAGAGAGAGAAGGTTAGGCAGAGTCAGGCCATGCGTTTCTCAAGAAGCTGAGAAACAGCTGGATCAAAGCTTCTCTTTCCAAAGGGGATCTGAACTCCCTTGACCAGCAGAGTAACTTCAAAGCTTAGTGAGCAGAGAAAGAGAAGCTCTGCTACTTTAAGGGGTGGGGGGAGAGATTAGGTAAAGGTAAAGGGACCCCTGGCCATGAGGTCCAGTCGTGGCCAACTCTGGGGTTGAGGCGCTCATCTCGCTTTATTGGCCGAGGGAGCCGGCGTACAGCTTCCGGGTCACGTGGCCAGCATGACTAAGCCGCTTCTGACAAACCAGAGCAGTGCACGGAAATGCTGTTTACCTTCCCACCGGAGTGGTACCTATTTATCTACTTGCACTTAGACGTGCTTTCGAACTGCTAGGTTGGCAGGAGCAGGGACCGAGCAACGGGAGCTCACCCCATCGCGGGGATTCAAACTGCCGACCTTCTGATCAGCAAGTCCTAGGCTCCGTGGTTTAACCCACAGCGCCACCCGCGTCCCTGTGCTAGGAAGAGATGCATGCGATGCAATTTACAAACTAGCTTGCTTCTCCTTTGGCTTCCCTGTTTCCCAGGGTGTCTTTCCAACTTGCCTAGCAAAGCTAACCCTGTCTCCAAAGTTTGCATTAAGGTTTCAAATCCAGCCAAACTGAAAGCTTTCCCTTCCCTCACAGAAGCCGAATGGGAAACATTCTGACAGTTTTGTTCCCTGAGTGGCTAGGAAAGTTTGAGGAATATTCCGCTCCATTTTGGGCCAGCGTCCATGGCGTTGATCACCCCTTGTGCAATGCAGCTTATTGACTGTTAAACCTTGTTAAACCTTCGAGCATTTCTCAAAGGACAATATGGGGAATTAATACCCAAATACGAGTACTAAGAGCCAATTTGCAAGGAAGAGACAGATGTAAAAATCCTTCGGAGGGATCCCCACTGCATTCCATTCGAAGTGTACCTCCCCCCGGTTTATTTCATTTTACTTTCCTACAGTTTATTGGCAGCCCATTTGCTGACATTTTCTGGTCGATTTGCAGGGATGATAAACAAATACAACTGCAATAAAACCATAACAATTGGGGTGGTGGAACCAAACCAGCACACTAGGTCTGCAAGACCAAAGATGGAATTGGCTATCCACAGTGCTGACTGGCTCCCTCTTTCCATGGTGTCACGGAGAAGTCTACCCTGCCCCCCCCACAAAAGAAGATAGTCATCGAGGCAACAAATGAATTGATTAAAAGCTAGGACATTCAGGCAGCACATTTAAAATAATTATTTTACAGCTGAGCAAAATCATAGACTTGTAGAGCTGGAAGTTAACCTCAATCGCCCTCTAGCCCAACCCCTTGGCAATGCAGGAATTGCAGCTGGAGAACCCCTGGCAGAGGACCACTCAACAACCTCTGTTTAAGAAAATCCAAGGAATAATAATAATAATAATAATAATAATAATAATAATAATAATAATAATTTATTTATACCCCACCCTTCCTGCTTCAGAAAACTGGGCTCAGGGCGCCTAAAAACAAATTTAAAACACTTAATTGTAAAAGCAGCATAAAATACAATATAAAAACATGAATAACAATAAAATTCAAAGTTCAGAAATCAATTTTGGGGAAGTCCATCAAATAAGCATTAGATAGTCACCAGGGCTAGCTGACTGAATTAGTCCTACTTGGGCCAGCGAGGAGGCCAGGGGAGAATTAGCTGTGGGGTCTCAGAGCAGGTAATCTTCATAAAAGGGGAGGGGGAGGGAAGAGAAGGGAAATAAAAGATCAGGCTGAATTCAGATTAAAAGCCAGGCGGAATAGCTCTGTCTTACAGGCCCGACGGAAGGAGGTTAAATCCTGCAGGGCCCTGGTCTCATGGGACAGAGCATTCCACCAGGTCAGAGCCATCACTGAGAAGGCCCTGGCCCTGCTGGAGGATAATCTGACTTCCTTAGGGCCTGGGACCTCTAAACTATTGTTATTCATGGACCTTAAGGTCCTCTGTGGGGCAGACCAGGAGAGGCGGTCCCGTAGATACGAGGGCCTTAAGGAAGAAGAGCACACTATCTTGTGATGGAGTCCATTCCACTGTCCAACAAGAATTCCTTTTAGGGAAGAAGTCTGTGGGAGGGGGCAGACTGTGCATTGCACAGAGGGATGGCCTGGATGAGACTTTGCTACCCTCCCCCCTCCAGATGTTGTGACGGCAACTCCCATCATCCCTAGCCAGCACGAAGGCAGAGGCTGGACTAGACCATTTGTGGGGTCCCTGCCAACTCGACACATGATTATATAATGGCTGAGACAGTGCTTGAATGCCTGTCTACCACTTTAGCTACCCTTCTCTAACCTGGTGTCCTCCTGATGTTTTGGACTGTAACTCTCACTAGCTCCAGCCAGGATGGGCAAACAAGGAAGGACAGACATCTGAACCCCAACTCCCATCATTAGCAACCCTTGGACCATGCTGGCTGGGACTGATGGAAGGCCAGCAATATCTGAATGTTCCCCATTTCTGCCCGCGAAGATAGCATCTTAAATAATGTTCCATGCCACTCCAGTCTCTGAGCGGTGAGAGAATCCAGGGGTTGCCTTTGTTGCAGCTCTTGCAATGGAGCCCATCCTTTTGGGATGCGGATGAGGACACTGCAGTGGCCAGCCAAGGCCATCGTCTTACAAAGAAACTTCTCTGGCTAGTTCAGCAGTAGGACCCTCTCTTTGATTCTAACCCTCCCTGGGTACGGGACCCCAAGAATCGGAAGGGACTCGTGGCATCATCCAGACTGACCCCATAAGCCCAATGATGGTAAATATAATAAGCTGTTTCACGCCTAACTGGCGAGAGAGCGATGTCAGAGAGCAATGTTGCAGCAAAATTATATTCCAAAGCAAAGAACTGATCTGCCTCTGTCTGTGTATCCTCCCCCTGCATAAAGCAGCTTTCTGGGCCACACGTGGATCGTGCCCATAGGCCTGGTGTCCTGCCTACCTTCCTTCTCTTCACCCCACACCCCACCATGAATAGCAATGCAGGGGTAGGTAAGAGGAGAAGAGTGACTGGAGCCTTCCTAAGCTCAACTGCAATCCTCAGAGGCTTGGGAAGATTTGCAAAGTTAGCAGATTTTATTAGTAGCTTGGCTATTAGTGACGGAATGGGTTATTAGCACTTAAAGCAGTGGAACATTCTTGCCTGGCTTGGCTGCGGCAGCTGCAAGGCTCTGTCTCTCAGCTCAGAAAAGATGAGCAGATTCCTGGTGGTGGCAGGAAAGGTGACCTCGCTCCGCCCCCCCGCCCCCCCCCCATCTTCCCAGTCCTTTATTAACCCCAGTTCAGCAAAGCTCAGCAACGCAGAAATGGTTTGTTTACAACAATCCTGGAAGTGTGGGCTGGCGCACACCAGCAGCCTGCAAAACGAACCCT